ACCATCCAACAATAGAGAACTTGATTTTGCAGTAGATAATACCATCATTTTATTCAACCAGTTTTTCTATGTATTCAATAAACCTGTTAGAGTTGTCAACAGTGTTGTGCATTTTATTGAAGGAGTTCTTATTCCAGTCCGATTCCAAAGTTGTCCTTGGACACAAAGAGACAAAAGTTACCACGGCTGTAAGTTAAAAATTATTCCTTTTTAACTATGTTACACTAGATTTTGGCATCAATCCCAATATCATAAGATTTTGGGAAACCTAAATCAACCCTATTGAAACGACACACCAGCTTCAACTGAGAGAAAGAAAGCTGGATGACCTGTAAAGTCAGTATTTCTCTACCAAATTAGTGGAGTTAACAACTGTTGGAAAAAAGGAAAGGGGTGTAGGGAGTTAACACTATTATTCTATACTCCCTCAGTAGTATTGTTTTAAAAAGATATTTTTAGGTTTTTAATAAATTCATAATGAAACTGACTTTATACATTTTTTCTAGACAACTGACAGCAAAAACAGTAGTTATGTTTAATTGCATCAAGAAAAAGTATAAATTCAGTTTCATATGTTATGGTTTTATTAAAATTCTAAAAATAGCTTTTTAAAACAAAAAAATAAAGGAATATACAGTTATAACAGTGTCAAGAGAAAAATGATTTTTTAACACACCATTATTATTTGCCTAGTCCTAAGTTAAATTTTACATAAAGTCACAAAATAGATGGCATTAAGCATGTGGAAATTAATTAAAAGTTGCCAATTTTGATAATTTGTTATAAAATGATAAAACAAAAATGTCATACATAATCAAGCTGTTTGTAAATATGTTGTTAACTGCAAATTTACATTAGAATGTGTTCAATTAAAAGCCTCCAAATACAACCATTTAACTTAATGACGTCACTATTTATAGATTTTATGTTATTTGCAAAAGCTGAGAAAAGGAGCTACTCTGTCATTAGGCAAACTCTGATTGATATTACATAGCAGTTCATCATTTTTTTTCTTCGTTTCTTACAAAGTTTTCCTATTTCTTAATACTTCACTTTGTTTTTGGAAGACATGTTGCTGGTGGTATATTGGCCTGCAAATAGATATTGAATGATGGAAGACAACAACAAACAAAACAAAGACTTAAGTAAAAAATATATTGCCAAGTTTATTTTAGTTAAAGAAAATACATCAATAAAATATAAGGTTACAGTGCACTAAGCAAAAAATATCTCTGTATGTTCGTATAGAGGGTGAGAAAAGCATTATCCTGAGGAGGACAGTTTTGATAGTTGCTGAAGAGTGTTGTCCTGAAAAGGACAGTTTTGTAGTCACTGAAAAGGACAGTTTATTGCAAGTCATTGCTACTGGCCTGCTGAATCAGCCCCTACAATATTACTAAATTTTTAAACTGAGTGTTTAAGCAGTATTGTCTTAATAAGTTTTGCCACAATGTACTGTTTTTTGCTGTGTTACCGTAATGAAAATACAATCAAATTGTATCATTATAATCTGAATTTGTGTGCTTACAACACGACCTACGCAGTTGTGTTCAAAGTCAATTTACTGCCAAAATCTGATTATGCGTTCTCAAGCTTATCATGTGGTTCATATTAATTATAAATACTTGGACACATCTTTACCTAGAACATTTCTGCCTGGCAATATTTCAACTCAAACCAACACAAATTTTTTTAAAAATAACCACAATGCCAAGGCATTTAAAAAATGGATACAAACAATATCACCACCAACAGACAAGCCAAAAACCTTTTTCCACACTGGCAAACCTCACTTGAAAAATAATTTCAATATTTATCAATCTGCGGGGGTTTTATAATATATAAACACTTATATTTTACAGCCAATAAATGAAGCACAAAACAAGTAAGAGGCGCCTACAAATAAATCCTCGAAAAATCAGTAGATATGAAAGAAGTTTACAAAAAAATGGCTCCAAAATTAAATGTCTTCTGGAACCTGATTGGATATGAAAAGTCATGTGATGTGCTCTCTATGTTTGCACAGTTGAACTCTAAATGACTTGGAAATAGGTCAGGGCTTGGGTTACCTAGTACATTCCACCCATCCCCCCCACATGCATAGAATTTGTAAGATGTTCACCAACTTGCCATAAGTGATAAAAACAGCTTGTCAGTGACAGTCAAGGGCCAGACCTAAAACAGAAGTCAGTGGACAGATCTGAAATGGAACAGTCAGGATGAGATCAGCGAACTTGACCAGCCTTGACACACATTACCATGACAACACGTCAGTCAGTGATGATTTTCCTATATACAAAGTCATGACTAAAGTAAGTCTCATATCCCCTCCATGTTCACTGCGTTTTTAAAATTACTGCTAGTGCATGCAATCAGCTCAACAACTTTATAAATCGATGCTTCTTCTATTAAAATTTTGTGCACCAACATTATCCATGCACCACAAATAAACAAGGCCTTCCAAACAAAATCATTTCATTGGAAAATAAAATTTTAAAACCAACCAATGATGCCTTTCTTTCCACACTATCGACATATCTTCCAGGACATGCTATGACTCTAACCCACTAGAGAATTATATAGCACCCTGATGAAACAGTACTTCAGACAAGTACATTTTCATTGACATGTTTAAACACGCATCGCAACCACATTGGTTGACTCTTTTTCTTTTCAGCTTATGAGAGCAAAACAAATAAACACAAACTTTACAGATATGTAGGCAAAATAAAATTCTCTCCATCTGGAGGGGAGTATTGTGGAGTTACTCCACTTACTTTCCTAAAAAACAACAATGGTAGGGGAGACTCCCTAAGTCTATAAATAGCCTATTCTCTGCCATGTTCTTTTTCCTTTTTCACCCAGGGACAGTAATATGTAGGTTGAATACAGGGAAAAGTGCACACACGCACTAGCAATTTTCTCTTCACTTTCTTCCATGTAACACCTTTCTTTAGGACTTACTTTGACACAACTTCACACACTCAAACAATTCACTAGTTTAAATGTTTTCTTCATTTATTGTCATTGTTTTGTAACACACAACAATATTTTATTATTTATGTATACCCTTGTTTTGTTAATACATACATCATTGTTTGTTTATATATATAGTTTTGTTCTTACTTTATATATTTTATTAGCTGGACTCACATTCAAGTCTGCCATTTTTGTTGTGGAATAGATATACCAGGAGACATATATTTTCCACCTAAACACAGCAAGCATACACCCGCAACAATGCCAAAGAATATGGCAAGATAACAGTTTTAAAATACAATTATTTTTCGCTCATAAAAAATAATTATAATTATTATCAACAAAATTTTGTGACAAACTTTCACAAACAACTATAAGATAATCATATATTTCTCTAAATTAGAATAGAATTTTCTCCTCTCTGCTTTTATTTCTCATATTTTCTTTTTCTTCTGTTACTTCTTTTTCTTTTGTTCAGATCTCAGAACCAGCTGACATCTTGTGAATTCCAAAACCTTTCTGCTTTCTTTTTCATCTAAGTTCATCTATCAGATCAACTGACATCTTTGTTATAACTGTTGAAATCCTTCTGTCTATCAGACAAACCAGACTTCTTAAATAGCTGCAAATCAGCTCTTAATTTGATTCAGAAATTTCACACTATGTGGCTGCAACCTATCTTCCCCATTGGCTAAAAAAATCACAAAATGTATCTCTCTAAACCATACCTGTTCACAAGTCCTACTATGTCAGGACACCAGACCATCAAAATTTTTACAAGTTTTGAAACCCAAACTCTATACATGTATCTATTTTATAAACTGCCATGCTTCATTTTAGTGCTTCTTTTACATCAATTTGAGCCTCACATATACAAAGTTTTACACATCAATTCAATTTTATTCAAGCCATTTTTTATTAAACATCTGTATTCATTATAGCAGTTTTTTATTTAAGCAATACATGTTAGTAATTTTCTTCTTTTAATAAATATTTTTAAAACACTTCCCTTCAAATAAAGTGTAATAAACAAACCTAGGCTATTGTATTATTTTTGTTACCCTAAGTTTATTTTTATACAATTTTATATTTCTTTTTTTTATTATATAAATTTTTATAAATAAAAAATAGCAATGTAAATCATTTTTAACAATAAATATTACAAATTGCAAATAAATAAATACTGGTAATAAAATTTGTATAAAAAAATTCAAATCTGAGTTAGAATGTTTTTATCCAAGAATGAAAAAATGTTTTTGTAATACAAAAATCTAAAAAGAAATCTTTTTTACAATTTGAAGTCATTTTCTTTTCAAAATCAGATAACCAGTTTTCTTTTATTTCTATTGCCAATGTTCTTTATTTATTTTACAATATCTAATAGTACAAAGATGATTTTTAAACCAATTCAAATAAATGACTACACACAAGACAAAAACAGAATATTTTCATTCATTGGGAATGGGGACTGAACAAAAGTTTTACATTTAAAAATCATATACGAAATATTACCGTTTTTAAAAAGTGATGAAAATTATTATATAAGAAAAGATACCCCAAGATAAGAAGAATCAACTTAACATTCAAATATTCGTCAAAGGATTTTTTTTTAATAAAAAATGCAAAAACAAAAAAAAAAAAGAATTATTTTTACAAGAATTCATGCAGCGATACCGTTTAGCGCGGCAACAACTAAAAATCTATTTTAAGACAAAAATATCTGTTGTAATATTTTTATTTTGTATCTTTTCCTTACATTTAAGATATTTTTAATGCGTTCATTCATATGAATTTTATCTTCTTAAAAGTCATTGTTACTTTCGTTAGACGTATGCTCGTTACCTATTATTCTACTTATGAACAGTGGAGCTCTCTAGAATGGAGACATTAAAAGCTAGGTTTAGTGTAGACATGTGGACAAAACAAGTCAAGAGTCTTTATTTCGTCCGTTACCCCTCCCATTCGTTGCTTTGTTTTTTAAAAAGATTGGATGCGTATTTATTGAAATTTTAATTCTTCAGATCTTGCTCTTTTTTCTTTTATATCCGTGAATTCAACTACCCAGACAAGTTACGGCTTTGCTATAAAAAGGCGCTTTCCTGCAGTGTTTCTAAGAAGCTGAACGAAGTTTTTTTCTTACCCCCTGACCTTCCTTACACTGTAAGGTTTTTTTTCTTTTTCTGCGATTGACGGAAGAAAATTACGCAAAAGCCTTTATTTGCACATTTATTCTATCTGCTGGTTAAATAATCTTACTTTGGAACTACTTGCACCTATTCTAAAATTATCCATTTATTGTTTTTAATTTTTTTAATTTTCGATTAAAATTACTGTTTTATTGGTTTCAAATTTTCTTTTTTAATTTTATAAACTTAAAAACTTAATTTTTTATCGGTAGATTTGAATTTTTCCCATAATTATTATTTTTCATTTTATTTTTATTCTTGTTGTTTTCTTCCGATTCAAAACTACTTTTTGTCAGCAACTAAATGTTTTACTTTTTTTAACCATATTGCCATTATTACTCATTGCATACACTTTACAATATTCTTAGTTTTTATGCACCAACATTTATTAACAGCATGTCAATCTTTAATTATTCACTTAGGAATTAAATTATTAATTCTAATTGTAAAATTACTGTAATTAACTTGGGTCATGAATTTTAATTCGACATTTCTAATAATTTCACTTGAACGTCTCACTAAGAAATCAAGTCTTCCCGTTAATTTAAAACTGTAGTGTAGTGGATTGGGAAATGATTTATTATTTAATTTTAAAAGTTTTGTATTGTTTTTAATAGGTTTTTAAACGCAAATTAATATACTAACTTTGATTTTTTTTCTCTTGATGTATGTTTAACTGGGCCAAGAAGATCAAAATAAGTAATTTGTTTCGTAAGTTTTCTCGGGGGATAAGAATAAACAAAGATTCTACTTGCAATAGTTGACATGTACAGTTCCAGGTCACAATATTTTAGATGCACCAACTGTCAGTAGTAACAATAATGGGCTTCAAACATAAGTCTCTAATTAATTACTCCGAGTTTATGTAAAAAAACAAAAAAACAAATCAATGACAATGCTTAAAACTGGCCATGAAAATATTTAATCCAATGTACGATCAGGAAACTGTTACAGTTACATTTTGTACTAAACCCATTTAAGTCCCTGTTATTTTTTAGATACAGAAATCAAACAAAAAAACTTATTTTTTAAAGATGTGTTTATTAATCTTTTATAGTTCACTATTCTTGTATAAGTGCCTCATAAACACCAGCTTTATCTCCCCTTGCATTGAACCATTCTATTGCACTATGATGAACAAGTCAGAAGATTGTATATTAACACCGTGAGATCGGGTGTTTTTATTTTTGACTATATTTGTTGTCATTTATATGAACAGCATAGTTTAGCCAAATAAATGACATGAGTAAGATAATGAACTCCTAAGTAATATTTGGCTACTTTGTGTAGCACTAAAAAATAAACCAGGATTACACATAATAATTGCCAGTTGTAGGCTTAAGACTAAAAATTAAAAATAATTAAAATTAGCTGAAACCATAGAAATTACATGTTGATATTATAATCCATTATTTCATGCCTCTCCTCCTCTCACCTTGTGTATCATCTCGTTCTCTCCCTTATCCATTAAGCTACATTGACTCTTCACATTTTTATAACGGGTATTAATTAATTTCATATGCGAAAAATGAATAATGAATGCACGAATATTTTTGACTGCACATTCTCTTTTAGCTTTCTGTTACTCTATTTAGAAAGAATTTCAACAATATATAGAGTTTTTTACATCCTTACCTGTCTGGGGTGGTAGTACCTGTTAGGGTCCCAGCTATGGGCAAATAGTGAACCTCAAACAAATCACTATAAAAGTATAAAAATACCAGCAATACAGTTTTATATAAAAGAATTACCAACACTACATACTTGTAGTAAAATTACCAACAATACATTTTATCTGTAGTTGAAGGCATGCAATTGCATTCAAAATATATCTAGTTGAAGGTATGCAATTGCTTTTAAGATATATTTGGTTGAAACCATAAAATTGCGTTCAAAATATATTTAGATTTTGGCATTAAATAACCCATAGAGGTTGATCTGCTGCTAAACAAACCATCCTTAACTGTCTTTCAGTTGCCTCTTGATATCTAGCTATAATTTATTAAAATCTGTACCCTTGTGTTTCACACACACACACAAAGTGGATGGTTTAACCAGGGGATTTCTGAAAGATAACACTTTTAAGGCAAGTGGTCTTTGTAATTATTATGCCCGATATCAAGAGATAGAGCATTGATAAATAAAATTGAATGTTCATTTATCTTGTCTCTACTGTGAGTTTCACAGAGATCACATCTACTGTTCAAGAGACTTTATTGTAAAAACTGAATTTATTTTATTTTAATAAATTTAATTTTACCAACAAGTCTTCTTGAAGAATGAATATAATCTCCACAAAATTCAGAATAGACAAGATAAGTAAGCATTTAATTTTATATATAGCATAAGCAGAATATCTGTCTATATTTCTGAGATGAGGTGTAACTATTTACATCATTTGGTTTGTTGTCTTCATCTTTATTGCCATATTCACATTGTTTTTCCATTGTACACTCCATCTTTCTTCAGGTGATATACTATGGAATTTTGAACTGAACCCTATTATTAGTGGGGTAGATTGTTCCCCAAGGATATGGCCCAGTGGATAAAAGCAAAAAAAGTGACTTGAGTTCAATATCTGCCCACAGCAGAGTGAACAAAAACTTAGAGAGTTGAATTGCTAAAGGGAGTTAACTGAAATATCCAAACAAGGCATTGATGTTGATATTAAACTGACCACGCTTCTCTTAGTGCAACAAGGAAGGTGCTGCTGCAGGCTTGAATTCTCTGGGATTGGGTGCCTTCTCCCATTTCAAATGAGAGAACAGATACTACGCTTCGATCCTGGTCAAAAGGCTGATCTTTCTTCTTTTATGTACCATGTCCTTTCAGGACGTAGGTGATCATGGCTCTCCACTTCCCTCTATCCCTTGTAGCTCTCAATAAGTTTTGTCTCTTTGCAACTTCTCCCAGACCCTGTTCTGTCATCCACTTGCTTAAGCCTGCTAGGTATGTCATGCGTTGCTTTTCCTTGTCTATCTTTCCCTCTATTCACCCTGTGAGTATTAGCCCTCCTTTCTCATTACGTGTCCCAGAAACTTCAGCTGCCTTTTCCTAATGTTAAGTATAAGCTTACTCCTTGTTTGAATCTTCTTCAAAACCTCATTGTTGTTCACACACTCGGTCCATGATATCCTTAGCATCCTTCTGTAAAATCATGCCTCTGTTGATTCGAGTCTCTTTTTCATCTTTGAGACCATCCAACATTCACTGCCATAAAGGAGGACAGATACCATGTAGCAGTTCAGTACTCTTTTCTTTGTTACCAACAAAATCCTCCTGTTTTGTAATGCTCTGCCAAGCTTTTGGAATGCATTTTTGGACAAAGCAATACATCTTTGGATCTCAGCATCACACTTATTGTCTTCTGTCAGAACACTTCCCAGATATTTCAATTTCTGCGCCATAATTATCCTATAAAAATTAATTTAAACTCTATCTAAATACAATACAGTTTTAACACTTGAATAGCTAATTCTTCTTTTAAAACAATTATTTTGTTAGAATGGAAAAAAGTTATTTTTCAGTTTGAGTTTAAACTTGATGTTTCATGTATAAAAATAAATGTTCTGAAGATGTTGAGCTAAGACTATTTTTCCTCTTGAATTTCAAATAATCTTAGGATAATTCTTTTCTGTATATATATGATATGAAAAGCTTGAAAAATACCAGTCATTTACATTGTGTCTGTGTGTATAATATAATATCTCTATAAACAGTGTGGACATAGAAATCAACACTGCATATTGACTGGCAATTTCCTGCTTTAAGCAATCATTAGTCACGTTAACCATACCGTATTGATTTGTGTTCACACTGTTTATATCTACCAGTGCTTTATCTCTTTTGTTGAGCACACTTTTTTCAATACTAGAATTTCTTTGCAACACAGATACATGTTGAAATCCTCACAATATTTATTATTGGTGATTACTGAATATATTCGTGTAACATGCAATGCTTATTTTAAATACAGCTGTACTTTTTGACTACAGTAAATGGATATATAGTTTGGTCAATGACGTAGCTAGGGTCAGCAGTACATGTGCTAATTTTATATCTCATGTATGATGCAACCTCCTTAAAATTAGCTTCAAAATTAGGTCTTCAGAAGTCACATGATATCAGAGCATATATGGTAAATTGTTTTTAAAATAGTGGGAGTATTTAATTTTTTCAAAAATTTAATGAAAATTTATTGTACTAAGCTAAGCACCTTGGTAAAACCAACTGTACTTTGTACCCCTTTACCTGTTTGCACTTGTCCCCAGAAATTGGTTTTGATCAGTCAATATATGGCTATTTTAGAGGGTGTGACAGACAGACTAATGGAATTTTATATACAGATAGATAGACAGACTACAAAAAATGTGTGTGGTAGGGAAGCAAAGCTTGTAGTAAAATTCAAACTAAAATTTCTCACTAACCACACCATCAATTGATGTGTAAACAAATGCAGAACAGAAAGTATACTATCAGCTGTTAGTAAACCATTTGTCTAGTAATACTCTAGAAAGTGGCTTCACAAAACAAGTATCAAATTGTGTTGGCTTTCTTTGTTCCCAAATTGACCCTAAATCAATTCCCAACATAAATAGTATTTGGATAAATTATTTTTGTACCCCTCAGTGGTTTAAGATTGTAAAATACATGTATTTAGGATATAAATAAAATAAGGACAGTACTAATAAAAAAATCTCATTTTATTTTATTTAAACTTAATTTTACAGTTATTGTTTTACTCCATTTCAAAGAACATGTATTTTTTGTTTCTATTTAATATTTATTTTAAGAATAAAATGGCTAATTTCATTTGGTTTTTATTACATCTTATAAGAAAATAACTAAACTTCTTATTTATGATTAATGTTAATATTTTTAAAACTTTCATTAAAGATTAATTCATGTTTTATCTATTTGTATTTTTTAAAGCTCTCTGAGTAATTACTATGTCTTCAGAGGAGGAAGAAGAGGAACACAATGTTTTTACTTTCAAAGATGAACGTCCCCTGCCAGATTCTGTTTATACTTATCCCTCTGGACTAAGAGAAAGTGCCATCCCGTTGGTCATTGATAATGGTAAGACTAAATTCTTTCTCCATTTGTCACTGTATGTTCTTATTCTTTGCATTGTAATTTTTGAATTTCCCTTCAATAGTTGAGCATTGGAAAAATGTCAGAAGGTTCACTTGAACTAATTTGTAATTTACAATGTATTTCTGAAAAAATATAATATTGTAATACAGGTCATCGTCAACTTCACAACCACAAAGTGGTATGTCTGGCCATCTGGCCACAACTGCTCCATATCTGGCAACATGAATATTTCTCAGCTTGGTGTATGACAATTTTCACCCCCAGTTCCCGGTAGTGTTAGCATTCCCTCACAAGCCTCAAGGTCAGTGTTAAAGTAGCCTTGGTACAACAATGTTTCCCCTCAGAGTCTGTTTGTGTCTTTGAAATTTTTCCTTGAAAACTCACAAGATGTCTACTAAGAAGAAATTGTCTTTGTCTACTCCTCAACTTGCCAAAAAGGAAAGAAAGACTGTAGATCTTGACACAAAAATGATAGTGATTAAACAGTACAAAGAAGGAAAGAAAGTGAATGTGATAACACTTGATCTGAAGTTATCACACTTTACTGTATCAACTTAAACCTGACAAATGTAAAAATAAGAAACAAAGCAATGTGTAGAGTGATGATACAAACATTATCAAATGTAAACAAACTGTAAATATTATAAAAAAAATACATGTATTAATATTAAAATCAGGCTTCAAAATACTTTTATGCAAAGTGTGAATAGAGACAATCTCAGAAAAATAGTTGTGACAATTTAGAATTATAATTGTCAACTACATGTAAGGATTTTTATTGGGAAAGCATCAATCCAAAATTTTCTTTGTGCTATTTTTATATAAAGTCATCATATGGATACAGTCCCTTGTTGATTCTAACAACTAAGGCACAAAAGAGATGAATGTAAATGGAGATGGCCTTCACACCCATTCACTCACTCAAGTTCTGTAGACTCCCAGATGAGCATGGAGTCACAGCTGTTGACATGCTAGGCATTGCTGGTGTGGTTTGCAGTTCCCATAGTAAGTTGGTTTTTATGAGATAGAGTTGCTAGCCCCATGCCCAACCAGTTTTGAATTCAGGGTTGTCATTTTCTTAGACTGGTTGCCAAGTTTGCTCTATTATATAAAGCATAGTTGGAGAGAAGAAGAGATGAATTCATACATACATACATAACTACATACATACATGTATATATGTCATGAAATGAACTAATTAATTTAATATATTTTCTATTCATATGTTATTTTCATAGATACAATTATTTAAGTAAATGATCTGTTTATGATAAATAGTATTGACAACATTTACTGGCTTGAATGTCCTTAGAAAGTAGGTGTCCTCTGGCAGGAATCAAACCTGTATCCTATACAGAACCGTCATATAGCCTGACGTGCTATACCATTTGAACCATCATATACCAGGCTATATGATGGTTCCATATAGGATACAGGTTTAATTCCTGTCAGAGGACATATATTTTCTATGAAATTTTTCGGACATTCAGGTGAGTAAATGTTGTTAATACTGTTTATTATAAACAGAGCATTTACTTAAATAATTGTATGTACAAAAATAATGTATAAACAGAAAATATATTACATACTAGCTTAAAAACCACCCTATTGGGCAGCATTTAAGCTAGCTCCTGCGGAATGCTCTTGATTGGGCTTTTGGCCCAACAATGACACTTCATGCATTGAGTACATATTAAATTTTATTAAACTTGAACAATATTTTTCAAACAATAAACAGTTTTCATCAGAACTGATATCATTTGTCTATTTGGAACTTATTACAAAGCTGCATCAACACTTTTGGTTTTCCCATTCAGGGTCAGTACAAATAGCTTGTTTCCATTCCCAACCCTTGAACAACCAACAGAACTGGCTGTGAAAAAAAGCAGAGTTCCATCAGATGAAGTCCAGTTACTTTCAATGATTGTCTTTAGGACTTATTGATTGACATTGCATAGCTCACTCTCACTGGAAACTGAAGTCTTTTGAATTCAAAAGGAAGATCTGATGGAATTAAGAGGATTCTTGGAATTAACTCTTTTCTGGACCAGTAAGGATCTCTGCTTCCAAGAGATGAGGAAGCATCTTCTTGGCAATTAACCTTGTTCCATTACAAAGCTTTTGAGGATCCAGATTTCTCAATAGCATAACGGGTACATTTTCTTTTAGTTCCAGTTTGTGTGATGGATAATTCACTGCCTGCCCTTGTTCAACCACAGTGTAACTGGAAAAGTACTTCATGCTTTCTTTTGGAATTTCTTGTAGAAGTGTCCAGTTGATGCTATCCACAGTTTGTTTCTTGGGAGCTAACATGGCCCTCTCACAAAGCCAGTTTGAATCTATGCATTGGTGTTTAATGTTTGGATAAATATGGTTATTCAATTCTTGGATACTTGAGACTGAAACTCCACAACCATTTGAGAGTGAAATATCTCCATTTTGGTCCATTTTAATGGTTCCATCGCCAAACTGCAACAGCAAAGCAGCAAATTTTCCTGCTTCAAGGTCACCTGTGATTCTAATTCTCATGTTTTATTTAAGGCTCTTTGAACATGGCTCCAGATGTAAGAATTTTTCAGAGTTGTTTCCCTTTAATTGAAAAAAATGTGACACAAACATTTTTGCATTTATTATATAGAATATATATATATATATATATATATATTCAAATATTTTTTCTCCCAAAATATCTAGCTAGGCTGCATGTTACCACTTGTAGTGTCTTAGCGTATGAGAAATAAGGTAATCTTTTTACACATTCTGTATCAAATTTAATCTTTTCCTTTTTATTTCACATGTTGAATTTATTATTTTTTATTCTGACATGAAGTTTATTCTTTTTTTCCAAGGTTCTTATCAGTGCCGAGCTGGATGGGCATCCATGGATAAACCGCAGTTAATTTTCAAAAATGTAACAGCCAAACAAAGAGGCAAGAAGGTAAGCATTTCATTCATTTGGTTTTAGCATATTGAAGTTAGAATTGCAATGGAAAAAATCATTTCTCAGAATATTACAAATTTATCATCCCAAAACTTGTCTGGACCATTGATTTCAGTATTTTTGTTTATAACTAAGAAGAGTCATTAACATTTGAAGTTTTGTTTGAAAAAATATGCAACTACCTCAACAACCAACCAGGTACCTAACTGATTTTTTTCTATGCTTTATCAACCCATTGCAGGTTATTTAAAGCCAGAAAATATTTTTAGACTAAGTTTTTTTTTTTTTTTTAAGAGAGTAATGGTTTTAGTGATACAAGTTTAACTAATTAACCCATACTTGGGGGAAAAGACCTGGATTCATACTTTTCCCAAGAGTATCTGCACATAGGTGAATATAACAAACCCAAATGAAATTGGAACTTAGCACTCTGATTAACAATTCTGAGCCACTATCCATTACACCACCTGCCCATCCAAGCTTACAGCACTTGATATTTCCAAGTCGTCACCCATCTAGGTACTGACCAGGTTTCATTTTCGTGATTGTATGGAAACTGGTGTTTCAACATAAAGAGGCTGTAGGCTGCCCTTATTTGAGCAGTTAAATGTGAATAAATGTAATACTACTTCTGTCTCATAATAGTTGGTACATTTGCATACAAATTTTGGCAAAGTTTAACTTTCATTCCTACAAAAAAACTGTTTTGAAAGGATGGCTTTTTTGTTAACACTACTATTACTGTATATTACTAAGGCTCCTTCGGCAATGTTTATTTAAAAGTTTATAAAAATATGTGAACCAAGTACAATGTGATATTTATTATTTGCCAATTATCATTTTATAAAGAAAAAATTAAAAAAGATACTTTTTATTCAAAAACTTATAAAAATCTACAAAATTTTCAAAATAAACTATCTACAATGCAATATTTATTATTTACAATTTGATAAAGAAATAATTATGAAAATAAGTTTTTTATTCATAATTTTATAAAAATATCTATGAAATATAGAACAAGAAAATTTAAATAAACATGATATTTCCGGACATTATATATTTTCTTTTCAAATTATTTTATCTCTGAAATTACTTTTTGTTTTAATTTTCCAATTTTTTTCAAATTGTGACCTAGACTCAAGGATACCAAATCAATAGAAATCCGTGTCCTGAAACTCCACCAAATATATGTTACCCTCCACCCCTTAGATTTTTTTTTTGTTTTTGAAAAAAATATTTTTGTAAAATGTTTTATTTATTGTTGCTAATTTTTCTAAAAATGTCTACAAAATCTGCCCTTAGATTATTTATTGTTTGGGTTTTATTAAAATTCTAATCATCACTTTTGAAAATAATAAACTTTGCCAAAGGAATGAAGTTTGTATAAAATATTATCAGTGTCAAGAAAAGGACCATCCTTTTGACACACTGTTTTATTGCAGCATGAAGATTAAACTTTGTTGAAAAATGAATTATGAAAAATACGTTTTTCACAATAGGATATTGGTTTCCCCAGGAAAAGGTTTTAGATATATCTAGATGGAATCATCTTAATGCTTATTTATTTCCATGGAAACTACAACAGATACAGTGAACACAGTAACACTATTGAATCAAACAAATTTTCAGTTACAAATTACTATTTTTTTCCCCACTAGTCATCATCTTTAGCTAAGCATTTTTCAAAGCACTCTTCTCTCTGTAGATTGTCAGCTATACAAGGCCACTTAGAACATGACTTATCACACACATCATTTTTGCCATGGCTGAAATGTATTAACCACAGCCAAACTATGCTTACATCTACTGCTTGGTCTCCATAAATGTTCAGCAAGTAAGATGAATGTCAATGGGTGCAATTTTTTTTCACATAAAATAATTCAGTTTAATATTTTTGTTTCACATGCACTTTCATATCAGATGCCATTTTGCCAGATTGCTATCTGTAACAAAGCAAAAATAATTATGGGTTACTGACAGGAAGTTTCAACCTCTACTGTCATGACATCATGAGCCAAAATAAAATAGGAGACATTATTTTTGGAGCAACACACCATATTAATAAAATTAGATGACAAGGAAAATATACAGGACAATTTCCAAAAAATTTAGCTCAACATGTTTTTCCTGTCATAATCAGAAGACAAATTTTATTTGAACAAACCAAAATCTACACTACTGAAATTAAATGTTTTTCATTAAACATCTTAAAAATTTAACATTATTAACTAATTTCAGTCATTTTTTTTTAATTATCTCACATTGTATTAGTATGAATTTAGATATATACTGAAATAGCCCAATCATATAGATGAGGAATGGCTTATAAATCATAAAATATAATTTATTCAAATGAAGATGCATTTAAAATGCTCTGATTTCTGAGTTTCTTACAATTAATATATGACTGGACTGTTATATATATATATATATATATATATATATATATATATATATATATATATGTTTTTTTACTAAATTAGTACTGAAACAATGCGGAATAATTAAAAAAAGCGAATGGAATTAGTTAAAATTTCTATAATGATACAGTTAAATTTAAAATTTAAGCTTTCAGATTTATTACAACATTTCGGCCTTGTACACTCTGGCCTTCTTCAGGTGGTTGGAATGTCGAACTGAACCCTTTATTTCGCTCACTGGGGTAGACTGTTCTAGTTCCACGTGCCATGTTTAATGGATGTCAGTTATCAGTTATCTCCTGTTAATTCCCCCCTCCAAGTTCTCCACTGCCTTAACTGAGTATTGAACTCACACTTTTTGGGTCTTGTCACTGGATCTAACCAATGCCTTTATCCACTGTGCCATGTGTCCTTGAGGACATCTGTTTATGAATTTCTGGGTATTATAAAGCTAATGTCTTATTTGCAATATGAGCTCTGGTAAAAACATGAATGATAACAGCAAAAATTGCAATATGAGCACTGGTAAAAACGGTTGCTGAAGACATTAGATTTATTAAACCTACAAATTCATACACAGATGTCCTCAAGAACACATGGCACAAGTGAATAAAGGCATTACTTAGATCCAGTGACAAAACCCAAAGAGTGTGAGTTCAATACCCACTTAAAGCAGTGGAGAATTTGGAGGGGGGGGATTAACAGGAAATAACTGATAACTGACATCCATTAAACATGGCACATGGAACTAGAACAGTCTACCCCAGTGAGTGAAATAAAGGGTTCAGTTCGATATTCCAACCACCTGAAGAAGGCCGAAGTGTACAACAGCCGAAATGTTGTAATAAATATAGCGACAAAGATGAGGACAATAGTCCAAATAATGTAAATAGTGTACATAATACCTCATCTCAAAAATATAGACAGATACTTAAGCTTTCAGATCCTTAATAAGAGGTGCATTTAATTTTGGTAATGTAAATTTTTGTCTGTACAAATATAATTGTTTTTCTGATGATGTCAGATTACTGGTGAAACATATCAAGCTGATTTTTTAAAAATTGCATATATACGTTTTTATATAATTTTTATTCATGGCATAAATCTACTCTTTTTTTGGTAACCTTTTATAAATGTTGATGTAATACAGTTTAGTACATGTTACTTGAAAAGGAGATGGGTGCTACCAAGTAACCATATTGCCTTAAAAAATGCCATGAAGGACCTAATATTGTACCCCAACACACTAAAGTCATGGGATTAATTGGAATAAAGTTGTTTCATAACAATTATTTTCTATCACGTAAACTTGAGTACTAAAGTTAGCATTAATAGCAAAAATACTCCATTCAATAAATTTAGATATTTTAAAAAATATTACAACTACAAGACAGTAAACAAACACTTTGATATGAATAATGAAATGAAGAAATTAAAATATTAGAATCTTCTACTATATTGTTATATATTTGTGGTTAAACCAGTATAGGCAATATGCATGTTAGAGAAGGTTTCTAAGATATGGGATGCAAGTTAAGCCTTGCCAGAGTTTTTCTTTATTGTCCTGTAAGAAAGTTGAGAATATTTTGCACAATGAACTTGACATGACAAAGGTTTCTGCTTGGTGGGTGCCACATCTTCAGTTATCTAATCAAAAGTGCATCAGGCTGATTACATCACTGGAAAATCTGACATTGTTTGAGGCAGATCCAGCTGATTTCCTTGAACATTTCCTAACCAAGGATGAATGTTAGGTTCATCACTTTGAGCCAGAAACAATCCATGCAGTGAAACGGCCCTCCTCACCTGCTCCAAAGAAGGCCATGGTTGTTTCATCTACAGGGGAAGTGATGGCCTCAGTTTGTTTATCAACTATCATCAAAAGAGCCACACCATCAATTGAAAGTACAATATCAACTTGCTGAGGCGGTTACAAAAGGTTATCAAGATCAAATACCAAGGAAAACTGAGGAAAGGGGTTTTGTTTTCGTCAGACACGAGTTCATGGCTTTGATGGCTGCTGGGCATGACCGTGGCCAGTTTTTAGTTAGCACTCCTGGAGTCAAGATGTGCCTGACCATATCAGTGACTAGGTAAGCTGTAAAAATGATAGACATGATAACACTGCGGCAGTATGGCATATAGAGAAAACCAGTCTTAACAGGTACATAGAAGCCACTGTGGCTTTGAAATGGTTGATCACCCTCCCTATTCTCATGATTTGACTATCATCTGTCCCCCAACATGAAAAAACACTTGGCTGGGAACCAGTATCACAATGATAATGACGTCAGATCTGCTGTTGATGACTTTTTTGACCAACAGAATAAACAGTCTTCACTGAACAAAAAGAGAGAGGGTCTTACTTGTAATATTTCCCAATGGGAAAAATGTGTAGGTCAATGGTGTCTTCTATGTACCTGTTAAGACTATGTGGTTTTCTCTGTATGCCATACTGCTGCAGTGTTATCATCTCTATCATTTTTACAGCTTACCTAGCCACTGATGTGGTCAGGCACATCTTGATTCCAGGAGTGCTAACTAAAAACTGGCTTTTGCTAGCTGTCACATGACGCTCGTGGCTTCCTCTCAACCAAAGGGAGATAATCGCCCTTTGCAATCCTACAATTTTAACACTTCCATTTTTCAATGTCCTGGCTAATAAAAGAAGCATTTATTGTTCTGTGGTTAAATATGAGCAAATCTTCCTTCTCTTATACTTTGTCATTCTTCCCTTCTTGACTATAACATTAACACTTCCATTTTGCAATGGCCTAGCTGTGGCAAAAGCACAGGAAGTTTTTCTTTTGTTTTATTCTATTAGAATAATTGGGTAAGTCAAATAAATCATATGTACTTTAATATTTCTTTTAAAATCCCAAGGTAATCAGGCAAATTATGGTAGTAGAATTTATATTTTTGTAAAGTAATATAAATGTTTTTGTTTCCTTTTTACTACATTGATATCTCTCTTTTTCTTTTCTTTTTTTCCTACATTGGCCTGCATTGAAATAAACAAGCTGTCAATTATTATTATAATATTTGTGTTATTTGAGAAATTCTATTTATTTCAAAATTATATAAGCCCTATTCTCTATTTTTGCATTGACTCATAACTGGCAACATTTTTATTATAGGTTGTGCAGATAGTGCCAAAATTAGCTAAAATAAATTCTACATAAAAAAAAAATGGTAAAACTTGGTGATTAATATTTAGTTAGTACATAAACCGATTGATACTAAGTGATAAAGAAGCAGTAAAATCAGAAGGCAGTGATAAGAAAAGCCTAAAATATTGCCTACATATATATTATATAGGAATAAAGTCTCACTGCCGACATTTGAGTTTGAACATAGATCACCAGTGAGCAAACACAGGCGATCACATTATTGAATTAAGTGGATCATGTGACCATGGGAGAAACACAGTAGAAATTAGTGTGGCATCTAAATGATTGCCATTTCTAGTCTAGCATCTATACTATATGAATCACTATTTCTACTCAATCTTCTATTACTATACAGACCACTATTCTCCATACTATTTCTCTATTCACATCACTATATGGTGGTTACTGTTCAAGTGAGTATTATTGAGCAAGTACTATCAGTGCAAGTGCTATTCGAAGGTGTCTGACACCAGTATCATTCAACAGCGTACTATAGTTGTATCTGTGATTATAAAGTCTCTACTACGACGAGCATTATGAAAATGACAAGTATTCGTTGACATCGCAAAAATGGCAACAAGTGTTCATTGACATCACAAAAATATACTCGGTTGAAATGCAACCATGATCACTGTCTATGTATTTGGTTTTTTTTCCCTGTTACCAGAATTTGTTGTCAATGAAAGTTTTCATGTATTTCATAAATTTTTTCCATGGATTACATAATAATACAGGGTGCAGCAAAAGTACCACCCCACTTTTTTTTCTTTGAGGTTGATAGGATGTTATGGAGCAATTGAGTGGCCATCACAATCACCAGCCCTAACACCACCTGACTATTTCTTATGGGATGTACTGAAAAGATCTTGTTTACAGGCTCAAACTGAAAACAATTCCAGAATTAAAGCAAGCACTTTCCATGTGCGGTGTGTTGTAATGGATAGTGGCTCAGAATGAGAACTTGGAAAGCCAAGTTTGGATTCCAGTATGCTTTGTTACATTCACTTACATGCAAATACCCTTGGGAAAGGTATGAATTCATTTCTTCTCCACCCTATCTATGGGTTGAACAGCAAGACAAACTGGGTCCTATAGCCTTGGTTGACAACCAGTCTACTGCATAAAGAAACAGCAACACAGTGCAGGAAAACCTTCTGCCTAATCAGTTATGAATCAAAAGAGACATGTTTGCCCAAGCATGTATGATGTATGGCATTTAGACTGACTGAATTTCTGATAGATTTTCTGGAATTAATGTACAAATGTGTCAAATGGTTTATAGAAGTGTTGCTGACATGGTTCAGTGTTGTATTGAACATGAAGGAGGGCATTTTGAACATGTTAAATAGTTTGTTAATCATAACAAATCACATTGTTTTGACATGACAATACTTATGAATTTTTTTTTAAACCACTGTAATTTATTTTTGTTTAATTAATAAAAAAAGGGCAGCAAACCTGAACCTTCATGCTTGCAAAATATGGTGTGTCAAAAGGAGGGTATTTCTATTCACACCCACTATTAAATACCTTCACTCTTATATTTATTGTTTTAAAAATCAATGATTAAAATTGTAATAAAACTTAAACATATGAAAGTAAATTTATATATTTTCTTTGTTCTTGAGAATTGACAACAAAAATATTAAACACTATTTATTATATGTTTATTGGAATGTCAATTGATTCGACCTTTATAAAATGGTAAATAATAAGGATTTACTTATAGTTGGTTCATATATTTTAATAATTTAGTACAAATAAAAAATTTCATATTTTTTCTTTATAAATGATAAATATTGCATTAGTTTTTAGAATGTTGTAAATATAAAATTATTCTTGTAAATAAACAATCTAATAGTGTTTAATATTTTTGTTGACAATTTTCAAAAACAAAACACTGTATAAATTCACTTTTATCATGTGTTTAAGTTTTATTTCAATAGTAATCATTGCTTTATTAAAATAAAAGTGGTGTCATGGGAAAACTGTTCTTTTGACACCCCATTTTATTGCAGGCATGAAGGTCCAAGTTTGCCAAAAAGGCATTACTTTTGCTGCACTCTATAATAATAAATGCTCTCACCTTTTCATAAATACGCCTTTTTTCTTCTAACATTTTCACTTGATTTCCATTTAATGTTTCAGGAAGCTGAGCTTCAGGTTGGTAATGACATCAGCAACATTGAAGTAGTACGTTGGATACTTCGAACCCAGTTTGACCGAAATGTTGTTACACAGTATGATGTTCAGGTACGATGGATTTTTTACAACTATTTTTTTTTGTCTCATCAGGTAAATTTCTTTAGACTTTGCCCCAAAAATTGCAATAATATTTTGAAATTAAAACTTAATTATTAATTTTAGTTTATGATCGCTGCAGTTAGACACAATGGACCAAAGTGGATTGCCAACATTATTTTAGTATATCTTAGTTTTTTAACCTGTCTTTTTAAAAATACAAAATGGGATAAAAAAAATAAGTATTTTATAAAGGATCTTTTCTTTTTTTCATTGACTTTTGTTTTGTTACTTATTCAATTTTTCATAATCAAATGGTAATGTTTCATCCTTGTATGATGCAGGGAACCAACACTTCAAGAAAATTTATGGTTCTATTTTCCAAATGAATATTTATCTTTGTATTTGAAAGAAGTTAATTTATTTTTTTGTCTGTAGTCTTTATTCATTCATATTATTTATTGCTAGTATTTTATGAAAAATGTCTGTTGTGAAATAATATTTAATAAGACTAGAATGGCTTTATACACCTTGATTGTGGTGTATAAAAATGCTTTATGTATAACAAGCATGAAGTCCATTAAAACATGAGAAAAAATGTAAATCTTTGGATTTGGATAATAAAAAATATGCGGTATAAAGTCAAATAACAAAGTCATTTTATTTTAGACAGTTAAACCCTACCTTTGTGTTCTTGATAGACCAATATCGTTGGTATATTAGTAACTATTTTCTGAAGATTTCCTTTTTTTCTTCTGGATTATACATCTGACAACATCTGAAGAATGAATCATTGTGGTAGCAACATCAAGAACATTAAGGAGTTAAGTTATCCCTTCCAAATTTTTTAAATACAAATTTTATGCTTAAATTGTTCTCCGCTGTTAAGGCCTTTATTTTTGCGAAACACATGTGGAGAAGTTAATCTGATTTTTCAGTTTTAGCTGAGAAGTCTACCTACAAGTATTAGTATCATCTTATGAAATTTATATGATCTTATTTTTATATTAATCTCAATTATGACATTTTTCCATAAATGAAATATCAAAATTAATAATAAAATGAATGGCTCTAAAAAAAATACCCCCAAAATATAACACAGTAAAATGTAATAAATGTACATAAAATTATAGTATTTTATGTACACTTCTGATAAAATTTCATAAGAAAGGTACCTATAAATTAATTAGATACCTTTTCTTATGAAATTTAATCTCACTCTCAACAGTCTTATTTAATTTTTTTATAATATCTTTTCCATAAATCATTGTAAACGTAAATGTGAAAGCTAAGTACAAAAAAAAAAATTAGAGCGCTGAAAGTTTTTCTTAAAAATAACAAGGTAAATAATTTGTTCACTTAAATCTAAATAATTATATCACATCTGTCCTACTGTATAAGTTATCCTCACGTAAGCAGTCAATACGTGATGAAATCATCAATCATCACCTATCAAGTGACGCAAAATGTTATAACCAGCATTGTTTTATTTTTAAACTACCATTTTACACAGAAACTAAGTAATGCTTGTTTCAAAATATTTTAGATAACCATTATAATTTCTAATTTTCTTAATTAGTTATGAAAAATTATAATTGATTTTTAAAAGAATTTTAAAGAGATTTTCATTTTTTTATACAATGGAAAAAAATGGTTGACATGACTGATTATCTGTCAATTTTGCTGACTCAAAAAAAAACAAGATTTTTAATGAATATTTTGGATGTGCTAGAAATGATTAAAAAATATAAAAAAAATACCCCCAAAATACTTTGATCTTTCCTCTTAATAATAACATAAACATCTAGATGATAAGATTTTGTTTTCGTCAAGTTTGGCATCTTTTTCATCATGCTATGCTCTTTTTTTAGTGATCTCATCAAGGTACCTACCTTAAAAGTACCAAATTTCAAACTTTCTTTAAATTATCCATTAACTGTTTACTTTAGATAAAAGTATAAAATTTGGTAAATGGCATGGTTGGATTACACTCTGTTTTTTTTTGTTTTTTTTTTTAATAAAGCCACTGAGACACAAGGGTTACTGGGTGTGGAAGAGTTAGAAACAAGAACATTGCCAAGGAGTGAGAACTAAAGAAAAGAAATCAGGAGGATAGTAGATAGCGATTGACATTGTATTTAAATTTTTGCAAATTAAAGTTGGCCAGACAGCATGGAGCTGGAAGGGAGTTCCACAAGTGAGAAGTGTGATAAAAGAAACTGTTAGCATAGAATTTATGGTTACATCTAGCCAGCTCAACTGCAAATTGGTGAGACCTCATTGCCAGTCTAGTACTGTACTTAAATTCAAAGAGTCTATGCACCATAGCAAAGATCTGAACAATTACCATGAAAGTATTTATAGAATAGGCAAAGGGATGCAACCTTACAGTGTTGGGAAAGTGACTGAAGCCAAGGCACCATATCAGGTCCAATAATATTGCTAATTCTTTGGATTTTATCAAGGAGCGCTAGGTAAATGGCAGGAGCACTAAACTATATGTGGCAACAATATACTAAACATAGATCTTATGTAAGACTCTGGAGAGAAAAATTGTCTAGCATGACATAGTGAACCAACCTTCCTAACAGCTGATCTAGCAATGGATTCAATATAGTCTTTCCACTTCATGTCAGAGAAAGCAATTTAGTTTTGGAGGCATTAAAATTAACAAACCACCATTTTCCCCAGTTAACTACAGGCTGAAGGTTGTTTTGGATATCAGCTGCCATTTTGATCTTATCAGACTTACTACCAAGACAGGAGTAAATGGTTATGTTATCAGCATAGATACCAAGAAGAAGGTTGATGCCATCGGGGATGGTCATTAATGAAAATCAAAAACAAAGTAGGACCAAGGATGGAGGCTTGTGGGGCACCTGCATTAGTATGAAAGGAACTGAAAGATTGGCTGTTCAGGATTATTTTCATTTCATAATTGGATAGGAAAGATTGGATCAGTTCAAAGATTTGCCCAAAGCCACCATAACTTTTCTGCCAAATCCTGCTGAAAGCTTTCGAGATGACCAAAGCTACAGTTATGTTTTTAGCCACCCTTGATTACAGCCACTTTGGCTTGTGTAATAATGACTCTTCTTTTTTTCAGACAATACCATGTTAGTATCAAGCTACTCTCATCTATGAACGATAGTAGACTTATATTTTGCAATGAAAGTTTACAGAAGTAAGGAAATTGGTGAATTTCAATGAGGGCAAATAATAGCATGGCATCAGCATGGCAAGTCAAATAGAGAAATTGCTAGGTTTTTCCATCAAGCAGTTAATAATATTGTCAAAAGATTTAATGAAGAGGGCCATTGTCATGTAGAAGACCAAGCATTGTGTCTGAGTGAACGAAAAATGTGCTGAAGAGGGATTAGAAAGCATTGTCAGGGCGTTAAAGATGTCGCCAACAGCATAGCAATGTTGCCATATACAGTGAGAAAGACTCTGAAAAAGCTAGGCTATCAAAGAAGCCCTTGATTTCAGAGGTTAACAGGAACAGAAGTATGGACTGGGTGAGAGAATTTGAGAGCAAAGATTATGAATTTTGGCAGTCTGTAATTTGGTCAGATGAAATTAAGTTCTGCCAATATTCAAATTCGAGACCGGTTTATGTTTGGAGAAATCAGAATGAGACTTAGAACATGGATTGGAGTAATAGTGTGGGGCGCTGTTTGGTTTGGAGGAAAATCTGAGCTGATTCTTGTTGATAAGCGGCTGAATGATCTAAAATACTGTCAAGTATTTGTTGAAAGGACTACTCCCACTATTAGAAACCAATCAGATTGACAAGGATGTCCATCTCTTTCAAGATGGAGCCCCATATCATACGAGCAAAGTAGCAAAGGCCTGGAAGGAATTGCAAGGAATCAAGTCACTGCCATGGGTAGCCCAAAATCCTGACATGAATCCAATAGAGCATGTTTGGGAGCACTTTGACTGAAAACTTTGAGTGTGCAACCAAAATCACGTCAGCGGCAACCCTTAAAGTAACATTACTAAAGGAGTAGAAAAATATGGATTACACTGTTGTTGATAACTTAATCAAATCCATAAAAATCAAATACAAGCAAATGGAGGATCCTACTCCATACTAATTCCAATTAGTGTTTATTTAAATTGAGAAGGGATTACATAATTAAATTTTGAAATTGGATGTAGTTATTTCTCCAGGCTAAAAACTTTTCTTAGGACACTGTACAGCCTGGGCTTCACCATTCTTAGCTTGATAGATTCTTTCTACAATTATCGTCAGTACATCAGCAGTCGACTTGGAGAAAGAAACACATACACACACTCCTTAAAAATACCAAATTTCAAACATTCTTTAGATTGTCCATTGACTGCTTACTTTTCATAAAAGTATAAAATTTGGTACATGTCATGGTTGGGTTACACTTAGAATTAGTCAGTGTGTGTATTTTATATATATATATATATATATATATATATATATATATATATATATATATATATATATATATAGAGAGAGAGAGAGAGAGCATTGGTGGAAAGTTTTACACAAACAAAATAAAGTAATAAATATCAGTGTATTTAAAATGTTTCACTATTTTTTTTTTTTTTTTTTAACGTCTTTTTTCATCAAAGCTTGCATGTTAGAATTTTTATTAAAATTTCTTATTGGGTTGTTTTTTTTTTTTCATCCAAGTAGACAGGTATATTGAATTTTTTTTATACCCAATTTCCTGCTTTTCATCTGTTTCAGTGAAAAGGTTTTGAGTTAAAATATTAGGTTACTACATCATTCTAAGGTTACTCTGATAGGCAAACTCTAATTTGAATTTTTCTATTTAGAAACATTGGTTGTGTTTGATATGTTATTAATTTCAATAATGTTGTTTATAATAAGATTATTAACTGCAATTGATTTGATGTTTAAAAGGAATCTAATCTTATTGTATATATAAACACACACACACAAGGAATGCTGAAGAGTTATAAACTGAACTTGTTAAAAATCTGATCCAAATAAATTTTTTAATCTCTTCCTGTTTGGGCTGATAACTCTTTAGCACCTGCAAATGTGTGGGTGTATGTATATATATATATATATATATATATATATATATATTAAAAAATGAGCATACATTATGAAAATATACCCCAAACAATAAAAACAAAAGAGGAAAGATCAAAGGCTTTTTTTTATTATTAAATTATATTTTTTAATCCTTTTTGAGAACCGTTAAAATTTTGGTTAAAATTTTTATAAAAATTGCTTTCATTTTTTTTAAATTTTAATTAGAATAATTTATAAACTTTTAAAATTCTGTATTAATTTGTATCAGTCAAGTGATATTGTTATTAAATAAAAAACATATTTACTAATCATAAATGGAAAAGCTTACTACAATTTACCCCCTACACTGTATTTTAAAAAGAATTTTGGATTTTTTTTTTTGTGTGCCTGTGTATAAACTTGCCCATTTTTGCAAATACAGACATCCATACATAACTTTATCAGAAAATAAAAGTAACTACAGTAAATTTAAAATTTATTGGTAATTTTCTAACATTTCATCAGTAAGCATCTTTGTAAGTAAAACTACAAAGCTAGGATACCTAAAATTCAATAAAGTATTAGAATGCTTAAAATATTTAAAATTTTAAAGATTACAGGGTAGTTAAAAACTATTAAAAGAAAATGAGGTTTATGTTGTATTTGTCATGTAATTTTATAACAATTATGTCCTCAGATAAAATTCCCAGACATCAGGATGTTAATAAATGTGTCAACACTTCCTAAAAATACCTACCTCCATGTCAAAAAATGCTTTTCTAGGATATATTAAAATGCTTTTCTAGGGTATTTTAAACTAAAAGTAAATAATATTTGTTTCAACTCAGATTAGTTAAACTTTAAATCAGCTAATTTTGTCACATAATGTTTCAGAAAATATATTTTATTTTCAAAAGATTTTTTAATAAAGATAATTATGTTGTGTTGACAGATTTGTTAGTATGGATGATTTTTATAGATTTTACTGCTAATCAGAAAAAAATTAATTCCAATCAATGTAAATTCAGTTTGAAATACAGCAAAGTAATTTGCTTATATATATATATATATATAACACACACACACTGAAAGGTATAAACATCTTATGTCTACTAATTTATTTTTTTTTAATTGCAAATGATCTTTCACAAAACAGGCTGCTACAGATGTAGGAAATTTCAAAATTCAGTATAAATGCTGTGTCTGAGCACATAAGTAGAAAACTCAGACACAGCAATTTTGTATATCTGCAACAGTTTTGCAAAAGATCATTTGCAATTTAGAAAAAAACGTAGTAAAACTTAAGACATAAAATGTCTATACTTTTCAATAAAATATGTCTAAAAGAATAATTGCTGCCTAATTATATATATATATATATATATATATATATATATATATATATATATATTCCTTATATTTTATAAAAAGTGTTGACAAAGATATTCTTTATATATTTTTATGTTTTTCATTTAGTTGACATGTAGGAGCACAGTAGTTTTTAGAAATTACAAAATTTTATTTACTCCTGTAGCCTTCTTTGATAAAGCAAAAATGTATGCAAAGAATATCTTAGTCATCATTTATATATATTCTATTTAAATAACTGTTTCTTTTAAAATGGATATTCATGAAAAGGAACATTTGATTTAAAAAGTTAGTTCATTTCTTGCACAATTGGTTTTATGTGGTTATTCCTTGTAACTGATGCCCCATTTAACAAAGATGTCCACTTTATGTGTGTTTAAATAATAATAAAGCTCACTTTGTGTATGCATCTGCTGAAAAACCTGAAAATTGTCCAGATAAAAATATTATATAAAATAAATTTAAATTCAAAATTTTTGAACTTATGTTTTGTTATTCATTTCCAATTTAGTACTTTGAGGAGTTGCATTATTAATATTTTTTTTTATAATAGATTAGTTATTAAAAGAAAGCTATGTTCTGTCCTGAAAGTAGTAAGCAACTTAACATTTAGATCACAACTTGATAAAAAAGGAAGTAAAACATCCTGACATATTAAATAGCATATCTTGAAAATTTAAGAAATATAAATTATAACATGCCAAATATGAAATCAAGAATTACAAAAATATTCAAATCTATTCAACCACTTTAATAATGCTAATACCATTTTTATAACAAATCTTTCAAAAAAATGATTGTACAATTCATTTGGACAAAGGAAAGAGACTTGGTCTACATAACACCTGGTGTCATTGTAAGTATTGCTAGTTTATATATATATATATATATATATATATATATATATATATATATATATTTCAATCAATGAATAAACATACTTTTCATATAATTAACTGTACACAGATGAATAATAATTAAATATGTATAGAAAACAGAAAAAAATTTGATTTAATAGAAATAAATCCCATTTATCCATTTTGATGGGTGAAAAAAGTATTCATACAATACAAAAAAGAATACATAATCTTCGTTTAATATTTTGTAGAATAGCCATTATTCACTTCTACAGCAACCAACCGTTTCTTGTAGTTCTCAATGATTTGCAAATTTTAGTTGGTATTTTGTTCCATTCTTCTTCACATATATAGTCTTCAGATCCAGGATGTTTGTTGGAGCTCTTGATTGGATTTGAATTTTCAAATAACGCCACAGATTCTCAATATGGTTTAAATCTGGGGACTGGTTTGGCCATTTCAGGATATTTACATTACTTTTAGTAAGCCATTTCTTCATAGAGTTTGCAGTGTGCTTAAGATCATTATCTTGTTGGAAGATCCAATCAGAAGGAAGTTCAAGGTTTTCAACTGAAATCATTAAATTTGCTTCCAAAATATTTTGATATGCTGTGGCATTCATTCTACCATCTATTACTGATATATTGCCAGTACCTTTTGCAGAAAGACATCCCCAAAACCATGATGCTGCCACCACCAAATTTCACTGTTGGAACTGTTCTTTTGTTTGAAGGCATCACCATCTTTCCTCCATACATGATTTCTAGAATTATATCCAAACAACTCAATTTTGGTTTTGTCTGTCCATAATCCTCTTTCTAAATACAACTTTTTCCTTATCCTTGTGTTCACGAATGAATTTCAACCTGGTATCTCTGTGTCTTTTCAACAGCAGTGGAGATTTCCAAGGGGAACGTGACTTTAGATCGTTCCTATGAATGTCATGGCTTATTGTCTGTTTAGTGACACAGATTCCTGATAAAAGCAAATCATCCTTCAACTCTTGACAAGTAACCATTAGATTTTTTTTAATTTGACACATTAATTTCCTTGAAGATCTTGCAGAAATCTTCCTTGGAGCACCTTTTCTTCTTTGGTTTTCAACATTTGGGTTTTTTTATATACCTTGCAATGAATGAATGAACTAATGTTAGTAAATGGAATATGGGATGTCTGAGATTTTCCTGTAATTTTTACCTTCTTTCCAGAGCATAACAATTAGTTCTTTTTGCGAGTTTGTCAATTCTTTACCTCTTGCCATGATAGAAACCTTCTTGCATAAATATCAGTCACAGAATGTTCTGTTTGTAAGCTAAAAATAACAACTGATAACATTATTGAAATATTCTAGAATATTCCACTTGAATAATCTAAAGTATTAAAGTAATCTAAAAGTTTTAAAATCTGAAATTTGCATTGTATGAATACTTTTTTTCACTCGTTAAAATGGATAAATGGGATTTCTATTAAATCAAATTTTTGTGTTTTCTATGCATATTTAGTTATTATGCATCTGTGTATAGTTAGTTATATGAAAAGTATGTTTATTTGTTACTTGGAAATACAATAAATTAAAAATTTGTATGTGTATAAATATTTATTTCCCCCCATTATAATATTGATCACTAATTTCTATAGATATTTTTTATTAATTAGGTTTGAATTTAGTATAGCCTCCTTTTGCCCATTTGCTATCTTGCAGTCTGACTGATAAGAAATCTCTTGTAATTATTAACACATTGCATGCATCTTTATACTTATTTTATTAATTCGAAGCTATTAATTTAGCATATATGATAGTCTATAAGTATCCACCATTTTAAGCCTTCTTTTGCCCATTTGCTATCTTTTAATCTGACTGATAAAATATCTCTTGATAAGAAATCTCTTGTAGTTCTTAACACATTGCACAGGTCTTCATACATATTTTATTTTGTAAAAATATAAACATTTTTCTAAATTAAAAATTATTTACTTGTAAGTGTTCTTTTCACAGTACAGGTTTTATTTTCACAGTATAACTGCATTAAATTGTGAAAATTAATAAAAAGAATATTTGTAAAAGAAATTTCAAATTTTCTTTCTTTCAGAGAATTAGAAGTGTCATCATAGTTAATTTTTTTTCTTTATCACTCTTATATAAAAAATATTGAGATAAATTGTATTTGTTTTAAAAAACAAGTTGAACAGATGTTTTTGTTAGAAATTTTACAAAATGTAATTAAAATATTGATTAGCTTGGCAATTTTTGTACATATATTTCATTTTGGGGTAATTAGAGAGTTTGTGTATAAATGGTAATGTGACATAACATCACAATTCTTGATACTTCTTGTACATTTTTTTTCTTCTTTAAGGAACAAGTGTTTGATTATATCTTCAATCACCTTGGCATTGACACTGAAAGTTGTGTTGATCATCCTATTGTCATGTCAGAAGCCTTAGGGAATCCAAATTACTGCAGACAACGTAAGTACATAGGCAGTGTTTATACACTAGCTGAACTCATAAAAATTCTACAGGTATTGACAACTGAGATCACCCATTATGCCTCAGCTCTTCTCTTACCCATTACCTGCATGTTCTCATTCTCTCCCTTATCCCTCCCAATCTTAGTCTAGGGTTTTATGTAAATGTTATACAAACATTGAGTAATTTTACATGTAAAAGAAAAGAAGGAAGAAAGAATGCACAAGTATTTTCTAATGCATCATCTCTATTTTGTTCAGTCTTTTCTTAAGGAATTTTAAAGTTTTGCAATTTTTTTCATTCAAACCTGCTGTTCAATCTTTGCTAATTATCTCTTGATATCCAATCAGTTAATTTGTTTATTCTATTTCCATTCCTTCCCATATCTATATTCAAGGGTGTGCCAGAAGATTTTTAGCCTGGTCATCTCCCCAAAATCTGATCAAACATTTGTAAAGGTCTTCTTTGCAAACTTTTCAGCACCAACCTCTCTCTCTCTCTCTCTATCTATATATATATATATATATATATATATATATATATATATATATATATATATAGATCACAGGAACATGAAATTTGAGTAGCAATTTGAGCTGTCCTCTGTTAAGTGTTGGCATTATGAAGCATTTTTGCTTTGTCTAGATTGTCTAGGTATTGAGCATTTTAATTTACTGCATAGGTAGTTGTTTGCATTTTGTCCTTTTTTTTTTCTTTCCTTGTTCAGGATATTTTTGTCTAAGGTTTTAGGTTTTTCGGCAAGTTGTTAGCTGATCACACAACATTGTTGTTTTTATGTATGTGTGTGTGTGTGTATATATATATATATATATATATATATATATATATATATATATATATACATACATACACACATACTTTTTATGTACTTTTCTTTTTATTTAGCTTTCTTCCTTGACAACCTCTTTTTGTCCACCTCCTTCTCACAATTCTCTTTTACTATTGCATGTATAATTTGACAAGGAATATTTAGGGAAAAACAAATTTAAATTGATATTTCCTTTCATACTTGTCTGTGTGCATTATTTGAACATTTTGATTTATAATCATTTAAATTCTATTCTGGGGTTATCAGTGAAATAATGTGTTAAACAATGGTGTTTCAGTATTAGTTTATTAATTCAACCATCTAAGTATCAAATGCTGGGTGATTTCTGATTAGTTCACCTTATATAGCAGGGAATATATTGTGTAGTTTCCTCTGTCAGAAAGCATAAATACTACATTCAGATTTTAGTTAAGAATAGCATAATGGTCATACAACAGACAGAAGAATAGTATAATTTAATTTTAACAAATACTTTATTTTTTTTTTGTTCTAATTATAATTAATCCATCACATTTTAGAATGTGTTTAGTCCCAGAAATCTGACTTTACTGTTTCAATTTTAAATTTTTTTCTTTATAAAATATTCCTGTTACTTTCCCTTGTGATATTTTTGAAAAATTTTGCATCACAGTTTTTTTTTTTTTTTTGTTTTTTTTTTTTACACTTTGGTCCTTAAATTCAAAATGTTCCAACAAAAACCAAAATTCTCTTCTCTCAAGATTCCTGTATTATTTTGCATATATTTAATTTCAACCTAAAGAAATTCACACCAATGTTGGGTTCATAATTTTTGGTTCTTTGACATTGAAATAAACATTGAAGTCCTTATAAATCATGATTCACACAAAGGAACCTTTATTTTGGAATTCACTGTATACTGCTGAATTAACTTGGCATTGAGTGAAACATTGGCAACAAATTTGTCATTTTTCTTCTATTTTTTTTTTCTAGATTTTATCAGTAATCAAGTTTACTATTTTTGCACTTGTGACAATTGAGTCACTCTGAAATGGTGTGTGTCTATGTGGCAAAATTAGTAGCTTTCTTATATTGCTCCCAGGTCTGGCACTTGTGAACTTCATCTCATCAAATCAAGTATTTACAGAACTAAAACCAGATAATTACTGTATGAGTTTTAAAAGCATTAGTATAGAATTATTTTACCACAGTTGTACTGAATCAATGATGTGTATTTAAACACATACACATAGAACTTTTTAAAATTTTGATATGATTTATTATGCCAAAAAGTCCTTGCCATTTTATATTTATTAGAAAAAATGCTATACAGCAAATTTGACATACCGTTAATCCTCAAAATAATCCCCCATCAGCATCCAGAACCTTTTGCTAACATGCCTCCAGCTGTGCAATGCCTTGGCAGAAAAAATCGGGTGTCTTGGACGCAAAGAAGTCTGTGAGTACCTGCAACACTTTTACCTCATTTGCAAAGGATTTCCCATGAAGGGTTGTTCAGGCAATGGAAGAGGTGGTAATTTGTTGGTGCAAGGTCTGTGAAATAAGGTGGATAGCACAGTGTCTCCCAGCCAAGTCACCATATGGTATCCCTGGCATTGTTGTGGGGGATACAATATAACCTTGCAATTAACCAATGGTGACTCCTTCCACTTCAGTGACTGTTGCACACATTCCAACTGCTGTGAGTACAGGTTCACTGTGATGATTTGACCCATTGGTAGCAGCACCACTTATCAACTATTCCACCAGATACAGAGTGTTTTTATAGTGTAAAGCGCAAGGTTCCATGGTGACAACCAATGTCTGGCACGCTTGGAAGTGTCATACGGGACCCACTTCTTGTCACTGGTGAGCACTCAATCAAATATGAGTATGTTGCTGTCATGCATTGTTGCTTATTGGCTTCCAACAGTATGCAGGGTACCCACTTGCACAACTTGTACATCTTCCCTATGCGGTGTCTGTTTCATCAGAAACCTGGAAGCATTTGGCAAGCTCACCACAGATTTGACTGTTGTCCTCCTTTTATAACCACCATCAGGGTTTCATTATCCAGGACCTGTGGCTCGACACTGTGAGGTTCATCCCAAAGGGAGAGATCTCCTGACCTGAACTTTTGGAACCAATGCCAGGCAGTAAATTTACTCACAGCATTATTCCCAAAGGTTTGACATATTCAGAAACTTGATGCAGCTGAAGACAAGCCCACCTTAAAATCATATAGAGCTGTTTCAACACTCAAGCTATAACTGATGTGTGTATGAGAGTAACGCACAAGAGATTGGTCAATTCCCCCACCCTTTCCCAACACATGATACACTTGTTTGTGTATCAGTGATCACTTCTCCCAACACAACATAAAAAATGGCAAGGATTTTTTTGTTACTTTACATTTAGATGAGGAATTATCATTATTATATGCCTGTATATTCAGACAGATTTTCCTCTTAGTTGTTATAACCCAGAAGATTGTGGGTCTTGTTCTCTCCTGCCTTCTTCAGGTGTCCGTTTTACTCAGTAACCTTCTTTAAATTTTGAACCAAGCCCTTTATTCAATCCACACGAGTAGATTGTTCTCATTAAATTTTCTGTGTTTAGAGGAAATAACTTATATTACCTTTGTGTTATTTTTTCATTTCTTCTAATGAACTACAGTATATGGTTTAGAACTTTTTACCTTATAGCTTATGAGGGTGCTTTCAGTGATTGGTTACTATTTGTCACAATATCTGCTGGAATGTTTTCCAACATGTCAACACCATTTTTCATTTCAAGGCTTCTTTTTTAACAGTATTCAAGATCAAATTAAAATAGTGATTTGCTATTGCCTTCTGACAAGTGGATGTCGCCCTCATTTTATTTAAACTGATATTTTGATTTATAAATATTGACTTAACATCTCATATTTTGCATGGGTATATAGACATGAAGATGAAGCATAAAAAAAGTGTTTAATCTTTTCCTTACTTATTAGTTACTAGCTCTTTGCCTCTCATACATATAGCACAAGAAAGTAAAGTTCTATTATATATTCTATATATATATATATATATATATATATATATATATATATATATATATACATACACACACACACACACACACACACGTGTGTGTATAGTGATACGGTCTTGCTCATTTCTTATATATAACTGCATATTTACCCATCCAGAATGTCACCCAAGAGAGATGATGGTGCTAGAAGTAAAAAGTATAAGCATAAATCTTTATCTATGCTTTAAAAATGGTGGAGTTACTGAAGAAATTAGAGAAAGGAACATCAGCAATATATATATGTGTGTGTGGAATTAGCTGACAAGACTGTTTAATAGGGTTTGGTGGGGGGTAATTTCTGTCATCTGGAATTTTCTGTGGTCCAGCAGTGACCTGGTCCCAAGGGTGCCTGATCAGAGGTTGGACCTTATTTATAGAAGAGTGCTCAATATTGGAGATAGGAATGTGCAGACATAGGCATCAACATTGCATGGTGATTGTCGACAAAATGCACTTGGTCAAAAGAGCTCATTGAAGTGTGAAACAGTCACCATATAGTGCTGATTTATATTTTTACAACTCTCTGATTTTATATAGATATATGATACAGATTTTGAAAAAAAAATTAAAATGCTCAACGTGCAAACAGAGCAATCTTAGATCATATTAAAAAATATTATGGCTACTTAAAAGCTAACTATAATACTGCAACTTTGAAGCACTAGGTCAGAGGTGTCAGTAAAAAGTCAATATTCTGTAAAATAATTGTTGGCACATGTAGTGCCAGATTGAGGCATCAAAATAAAACCCTAGTAGGCTTGCACTCACCACTCTTCTGTGGTTTTATATTCCCCACATGTCAGACCAACTATTTAACAATTTCTGTTCTGCACATATTTTCCACATCTTGGCATTTAAAGCCTGAGAAACTTAAGGCAAAAGCAACCTTGCTGGCAAATAGCTGTAATATCTTCTTTTTAATATGATCTTATATATGAGAGAAAGAGTGTGGACATAAAACTCAACACTGCACAGTGATGTCAGTTTTACACCTCAAATGATCTTCAGATCTTATCTATAAATGCTCTATCTTTGATATTGAGCATTCTTTTCCGATATAGTAAATTTTAAATAGAATTACACACACTTGTATGAGATAATAATAATATTTTAGATATATAGGACTGATCTTCTTATTAAATTTATACATGAAATAGTGTACTATGAAGAAATACTCACCAGAAAATAAATATTCTATCTCACCATTATTGAGAGCATAATTTAAATCTTCTACTTTCTTTATTCTTATTTCTGCCTAAAATTTTGTCAGTAAATTAATATTGGTACTTGCATACTGAATATTCATAATTATCTGAGTGACCCCTTTCTGCCTCCCATCAGCATGGCTGATGCTAACCTCCAGGGGTGTGACTCATTTCACCTCCTCGTGGAAAGATTATATTGTTGAATCCATTGCTAAGAACATTGGTTCACTGTTTCGTGCTAGACAATCTTTCTCTCCAGAATTTAATCTTATATATTTATAAGTCTACCATTTGTCAATGCTTTGAATATTGCTGCCACATATGGTTGGTGCTCCTGTTGCATATCTAGAGATTCTTGATAAAATGCAAAGACGAATCGGCAATATTATTGGTCCTGACCTGTGGTTTCAGCTTCAGTCATTTTCTCACTGCTGTAATGTAACTTTCCTGTGACTGAGTAACCCCTTTGTGTCTTGGTGGACATTGCCTTGCACAGGGTGAAATTGATTTAAAAAAATACTTTTTTTAGGAACATATTTCAGTTTTAACTAAAATAGAAACAAAAATCATTTAGTTATCAGCAGTTTTTTTTACCTATCACCTGAAAACTGTTTTACAGATTGCTTAATAGCTGATTCAGATTTTTCATAATTAAAAATTCATACAAAAAAAATAAAAATAAATTGTTTCTTGTCATGTCCCTTCTGAACACAGCTATCCACAATTTCCTATCCTTTGTAGCTTTTAATAAATTTTGTCTTTTCACTATCTCTCCTAATCCCTGTTCTGCCAACCATTTACACAAGCTTTTAGGTAGTTTATGTGTTGCTTTCCTCTGTTCCTCTTGCCTTCAATATCCTGTATCAGATTTTCTAAGCCCACTTTCCTCATTGTTACCAAGAAATTTCAACTGTCTCTTTTTGATGTTAATTATAATATCCATTTTATTTCCATGATTAATTTTCATAAATGTATTTATCTTTTTCCAGAAATGTCAGAGTTGCTTTTTGAGTGTTATCATGTTCCACAGGTGGCTTATGGGAATGATGCTTTGTTTAGTCTTTACAAGAACCATCCCAAACCAGGTAAAAAGAAAATAGTTTATATACATACTTGCTCTTAATTTACAATTATAAAATAACCTGAATGTTGTAATAAAAAATCAACAATTAAGATAAAAAGTAAACTAATGTTGATATGAGTGTTGCTGAAAAGTTCTCAGCTTGAACAAGAAAGGATTCCTACAAAATTCTGATATTTGGTCCTTTGGTTTGAGTTGACAAGTTTCAGCTGTTTCATGTAAATGTAATTATTGACAGTTGTTAATGTAATCAAAAAAGAAATATCTTTGTATAATTATGGAGGTACAAACATGGAAAGTTAAAAAAAAAAAAAGTTATATATAATATAAATATATATAATAATAATATAATAAAAATTTTTCATTAAAAAATTGTCTTCTCTATTAAAATTTAACTCCTTTTTTTAATTTTTCAAAAAACAATTGTATAACTTAGAAAAAAATTAATAATACTTGTTTATTTATATTTCAAAACCTTTTTTTGTCTTCAATTTAAGCTTGAATTTTACATATATACATGATTAGACACATCTTACCTAATGTGTAGTTCCTCTGTTCACCTATATAACATCAGTCTATAAGATGCTGGAATCATTGCATAGGTATATCCATTCAGGCACATTCAAAAGCTGTCTATAACTGAGTTATCTTTGTTGATTGTAGAATGCAGGAGATTTAGTTAGGTTGACAACACACATCCCATACATGCTCAATTAGATTTAAATCTGTTGAGTGTATAGGCCAATTGAATACCTGGAAGTCAGTTGAGTGATCTTGAAACCAATTTAATGTCATCTACATATGATGGAGGATTGAATTAAATTGTTGGAATAAACTTTTACCACCAAAAAAAAACATAGCAAGCATAAATGGGGGCAAATTGTCTGCAACAAGATCTGTATATGTTTCATTAGTGCCCTTACTCCAACATAACTATTACCAGTTTACCAAACACTGATAACAAGCTGAATGTATAACATCATGCCGTCATCTTCACATAACTTGAGTGTCCATCCAAAAGATCTGGAAACAGGATTTGTGTAACCAGGCAACATGTTGCCTGTCTTCTCTGACCCTGCAGCAATGTTTTCTGTCCCGTGTGAGGTGCAGTAACTGAACTCCATGGAATAAAGTATACCCTATCCTATGTATTGACTGAGGTTGAACAGTATCTACATTGGATTGGGATGTGATTTGATACAATGTTCTTCTTCACTCAGTGATTAGCATTCTTCTGTTACTGGTGGTCCTGTTCTAGTATCACCCGTGAGCATATGCTTTTTTCATATGCAACTGATGTTTGACCAGAATTCACATATTCCTAGAGAAAAATAAACTTCTACAGTTTCTATCCCAATGATAGTTTCTCCCATCATTCTTGGGCCAATAATGATTCTGTAATCAAATTCTGTGGTGGCAACAACTGCACCATGTCTTTATCTATTATGCCATCCAGCTGAATCCATTTCTACAATTTGGGGGAGGATGAAAACCATCCAGTGTACTGGTGCTTACAATTTTTAGGGCAATTAAAATTAAATCTTAAAACAGAAATATTTTTATTTTTAATGAATAAAAAGTTGTAAATGAAATATATACATACACACATATACTAAATAAATTTTAATTCCTTATAAAATTCAGCAGATATTCTTATATTGTTTCATGACTTGAAAAGCATATTTATGTCAAATTTGTTTTAAAACAAAGATATGAAAAAAGTGGGTTATTGTTCACACACCTTGTGATTTATTGCATAAAGCAATGAAAAATATTAATAATTCCTTATTTCAACAGGCATTACACTTTATAACTATTTACTTTTTTTTAAGTATCGCTTATCCAGTTTCATTCATAATCTTGTCAAAGACTACTCCTTTTCCACTTTTGTTTGTTACTTTATATCCTGTTTTGCAATGCCCTGACTTTGGCAAAAGCAACAAAAAGTCTGTGACTAAATACTGATTCTTGTAACTATTTCGTTACAAGAATTGAAACTTATGCGGAGTTTACTTACAATTACTGAACAGAGTTTCAGTGGCGAGAATCATTAACCTTTAGCACTCTGCATTCTTTTTCAATGTCGTTCAAGTGCAGTATCCTTATTGTTCACTCAAAGTTGTTTTCTGTTGCCATAGCAAGATATGACAACACAACTAAGAAATTCAAATTCAGGGGTCAGTTACCTTCAGTAGCAAACTTTTTTTTTTACAGCAAATGAAGTCACGTACAGTGTGATAAAGGTTAAATTCATAGATAGTAAGTTTTACTTGTTTTTGTTTACAGAATCAGCAAATGCATTGATTGTAGATTGTGGTTACCAGAGTACCCATGTCATTCCATTCATCAATGGCCGACTGATGGCAGAAAACTGTCGCCGCATCAATGTGGGAGGACTTCATCTTGATTCCTTCTTACACAGGCTTCTTCAACTTAAATACCCAAGTCACTTTGCTGCTATCACTTTAAGTCGTGCAGAGGTGAGTATTTATTTATTTTTTTTTTACAATTTCTACTATTAATTGGTTTCTTCATAATCACATTCTTGATGAAATTTTAGTTACTGATCCTTTACATACCCTGCGCATATACTACATGCCAAAGTCTGGAACTTTTTCAGCAGTATATAATTGTTTAAATTAAAGTTATATTTGCAGCTCTTAAAAATTGATTTTACTACATTATCATTATTCATCTCAATATGACACTTTTGAATATATGCTATGGTTTTACAATTCTGAACTATTAGCATGTAAAAAAAAATTTAGCTATGCGGCTGATGGCTTGAAAACTGTTTGATACTTCCTGATATTATCTAAGACCTGATTTACCATCACACTTACAACTGAAAAATAGGCCATTAAAAATGATTCCTTTACTGGAAATCCCTGATTTAAATTGACATTGTTTTCCAAAATATATAATTTATTTAAGATAAGGAATTTTTATAATTGGCTTGTTCCATGTTAAAAAGATTCATCTTTAATCACCTGTAATTGAGCCACTAACTCCATAGAAATAGTTTCTTTTCCCATCTAATACTTGAAATATATTACATTTTGTAAGTTGTTCCTTCATTTTTAATGAGTACATAAAAATTCAGGATCTGAAAATGAAGTTAAAAATCAAGTACCTACATTATGTATTGATTTTAAATTGCCTTAATTTTTAGGTAACATTTCAATCACTTTTTCCTATTAAATACTTATTTGTTCTTTTAAACATTTCAAACAAATAGGAATATTTTCAGATATTGTCAGTTTTTAAATGACTTTTTCCAAAAAGATTTATATTTCTCATTATCAAACATTGTATTTTTTTGTGGCTTCAGCCATGTGCATGCACCCAGAGCAATGTTAAAAAATATTTTTTCAGAGATCAACTTCATCTGGTTGAATTTATTTGATGTTTATTATCATAGTAGTTAGGCACAAATAGTTCTAATGAATACACAAGAATCAGTTCCTGTTAATGCTTAACAATAGCTGTATTCACATGCACGCACATAAACAAGTAGCCAAAAATAAACCCATCAGATCTTAGTGGTACTCATTATCTTCTTTTGAAATAAGCTGATCAAGTCATGTTATTTTGGTATAATTTTATTTTTTTAATATACAACTATGCATCCAATGAAATAATTGATGAATACTTTATTTTCTGCATGACTATTTTGTATCTGAGATACTTAAGTCAATCTTTCATGTAATAAAGTGAAGAGTCCAATGCAAAGTTATTTAGTCAATGAAAATTTTGAGTAATTTAAAAACATCTTAGATAGAATATTGTTACTGCACAAAATAACAACACTTAGTAATTTACCATTAAGATTTGGTTTTATTTGAACACAACTTCAAACATGACAGGTACATTTTGCACTGGACACTTCAACTATTCAAATATAAAAACAAGCAAGAAAATATGTCTTGGCAAATTTGTTTATTTGAGCAACATATGTACTTGCACACATTATATCACACTAATACAGTAGCACTCAGTTCTGGTTTCCAGTAACCTTGTTTTCAAATCCTCCAACAACTGTGCTCTGACTTTGTTGGACTATTTAATGTGTTCATACGAACATCTAAATTAATATCTTCCTTCCTCTATGAAAGGATGGGAAAATCCTTAGAGTCTGACAGTAAAATGAATGACATGTCAACGATAGGACTGGGGCTGCAGCCTTAACCTGTGTTAATAATTAATGATCAGATTTTATTTTATATGAAAAGCAAATGTCTGTGTCCATGTTGTGTTCTACAAAAAGTCAGACTGATCTTCACTAAATCCTCTTCTCTTGTCTCATTTAGCAATTGACAGAAACCAAAAATTCTGTTTCAAATGGTCAGTCTTTGATAATTGTATGGTGGTTACAATGATTCATGAAAAGAAAAACTTCTTTAGCTTAAATAAGATGAAAAAATGCCATGAGAATATTCATGTCAAACAAAAATCAAAAATATTACTTGAAGAAAAGTAAAAATATTTTACTTGCATTCAGGTTAAATGCTTTTAAATGTTTTAGGTAAATTTATGTAGCTAGAGACTTAGTATTAATAAGTTACTGACACACCATTTGTATTGATCGTTATTAAAAAGTGACTCACTACTCAGTTTTATTTTAGTTTAAATAATCTAACTTGGAGTTTTGGTGTTGTTTAACAGATTGTAAGTGGAGTGGTCTCAAAATGTTCATGTCAGTCCCTAGATAAGCTGTTAATGCGCATTTCAGTGTTTTACCAACTGAGCAGTTTCCTATGTAATTAGAAATGTTACAAGAAAAGTTAATAAAATTTGTTCCCATAAAAAAGCATTTTATTTGGTAAAAAAGCTCACATGCAAAATTTAGTTTATTGTTGCTGGTATGAAATGTGCTAATATAAAGTGAATATTTGAAACTGATTTTTTTTTTATTGTTTCTGTTAAGCAAAGCTGAAATTTGACAGAGAGAAGAGGACTGTTTTTTATCAAATTTTTTTTTACAAATGAACAAAAAAGTATGAATGAACTGAAAGGTCTGAGAAAAAATACTTTCTATTTAATCTGATTATACTGTGTTTCAAGTGAAAAATTGGGTGATGACCCCTATGACACAAGAAACAAATTCAGCAGTTTTATTTATTATAGTAAAACTGTTCCAAAAGTCATTTATAGAGATATAAATACGAAATGGAAGCACATGTGTGGAGAATTCAATCAAAAAAAAAAAAAAAAAAAAACACTTTTTTTTACAAAAAATGTAAAATGCTATATAAAATAAGGTTTTATTTTTATAAACTGAATAAAATAAAAGAAAGTAACAAAATAATGAAAGAATTTGCCATGAGTTCTTTAGAAACAACAGCAGCTATTTGTTGAGCCTTTTGATAAAAAAGCTTAAAACATTAATTGCATCATTTGTTAGAAAAAATTTATCAAACAAGGTCATTATTTACTAAATTACATGAATGGTCTATCCAGGATGTCTATTCAATTTTACAAATTTTATAGATATGAAATCAGCATTCATTAGCTTTCATCTTTCAAGGAACATTTAAGGGGACTCAAATATTTTCCATGTATGCTGAACACAAATGTACCTTTTGTTTAGTTATTTCATTTTTTATTTTTTTCAGTAAAATATTACTGGTATCGCTGTAGTATACCAACAAATCTATGCATAAATTTCATCACAGCAGTGTTAAAAAATGTATTCATTGCAACAGGAAAATTGTCTTTTTTATGTTCATTTTTCTGCCATGTTTTATTAGCTTTTATTTTTCTTCTTACCAATTTCCTTTGAAAAATGAAAGTCGATTAAAATTTTTAAATTACGACTTTGGCATTAAAAAAAAAAAAAGAAAAGAAAAAAAAACAATAACACAGGAATCCAACAAAACCTTTAAAAAATGTCCTTGATATGAATGGACAAAGTTGACAGACCATTCACATATTTCATAAATAATGATCTCAAACAGTTTAACAGGAAACTTACTGATGGATGAGCATCAAAAATGGGGAAAACACTTTTAATCTCTCATGAAAACAACAAAACACACACACATAAACAGCAGCCAAACCAGGTCCCCAAATTTCTCAACACAGCAGGAAAGTTACCTTTTAAAATATTTGAGGCTCAATTAGGACACTTTGCTTTTTTTTCTTTTTAATACTATCCATTGTAGAATCAAAAATGTCTGTCTGGTTTTAACATGGTTTGTTAGCAAAAAATAAATTTCATTTTTTTTTTTTTTATTTTTTATTTTTTATTGCTTTTTAAAACCTGCACAAAAAAAATTAGTAACTGCTTTCTTGAAATAAAACAATGTCTAAATGCCAACTTATGAAACCACTTTGTATTTGCCTGACAATACTCTTCAGAATCTGTACATTCTCTGTATTAATTCTTACAAAAAGTTGACTTTTTGGATTTAATTTCTAAAAGGGACTTGATTACTCACATACGAATAGAAGCAAATTGATTCAAAGATGCCAAAAGAGTGAATTATGAGGTGTGCAGATACTCAGCAATTACCTCCCTTTTAAGTGTCAGGGTTTTGTATTTGTTTAAAATTGAGAGAACTAAACAAAAAGTTTTATTAAAATTGCTACTTGTATCATAAACACTTTTATAACACAACCTATTTACTTTTTATTCATCATTACATTTGTGTGTTTTATATTTTAAAATAAAATATGCATTTAAATATTTTACTAAAATAATAGAAACATGAAAGAAATTGTCATACTTTAGAACACTACATTTCCAAAATTATTTTTTGGATCACATTTTGATTTGATCTAAAATTTTAAGCTTTACAATAAAGTGCTATATTTATTGATCCATACTAACCAGCCAAAACTGTTCTCAAATTTCCTTTTTATCCTGAAAAGATTATTACAATTTTTAGGATCACTCACCTGTGTATAATTATGTTGTACATTTTACAATTACCAAATTATATGTATTTAACTTACTTTTCCTGTTGTTTTTTTTCTTTTTCTTTTTTTTTTTCTTTAAAGTAAAATCAAAAATCTTCATTTATCAATCTAAGAAACTTTTTTTTAAATTATCTAAAAAAAAAAAATACATAACAAAAAAAAAAAAAATCAAACCTTTCTAAAGCTCCTTGAATAAAGGAAAAATAAAAAATAAAACAAACTATAAAATAAAAACTAAAGGGTTGAAAAAAAAGGGAAGCAAACACATTAGTTAACTGCTGGCTTCCTCTGGTGTTATCAAATTCTGTGCATTAATTTGTCTTGTTTACTTGCGTGTACCTGGCATATCAACTGCAGCAGAACTGTTAGTTGATGGGTAGGCCACCGTCATGCCTGGACTGGAGTATGCATACATGGCCCCATGTGGGGGAGCATTTTGCATTCTCATGCAGGCAGACTGGTTGCCCACCACATGGTGCATCCCTGCTGAGTTTGCTGCTGCTGTCATCATGTGAACATCTTTGTCAAGATATTTTTGCTGCTGTGTGTAGGAGACCTGATTGTAGGGTGCTGCTGACATGCTTGCGGGGGTCATCTGCTGGGCTGTGCTGTATAGCTGGTATTGGGGCAGGGGACCAGCATATATTGGAGCAGACTGCATACCATAAGGATAGGAAGAACTCTGCGAGCCAAGGGACATCATACCTGCAATATATATAGCCAATGATAATAGCTCATTCCTCTGATGGTCAGCAATGGTGTCACTAACAATGGATACAATTTTGCCAGATTGCTACCAATAAGTGTGACACAACATACATTAGCTGACAAAGAATTGGCTTGGCTCCAGACATTTTGAAATGCCACAATACATGTTTCTTTAAAAGAATCTAATATTGAAGGTGGATAAAGTGCTCTCTATATTTGCTATTATTAATCAAAAGTTTTTTTTTTTTTTAACAAATAATAAATGTAATACATTTATATGCAACATACAAAGAATATTAGGAATAGTTACAAACCAAACAGATAAGATGATGCAGCCAAACAATTTCAAAGATAGTCAACTCTACTCTTTGTTAATTTAATTACAATAATGAATATTTGTGCATTAAAATAGTTTTGTGATAAAAATATATAGTTTGCTATATGTAATTATATACATATATTTATTGAGCAATAATAGAATGCAGTTCTTCAGTGCAGGTATGGTTCTGTTAATAAAAAGATATACCTACACATTCCTGAAAAAAATTACTGATATACAATAAAAACTAATTTTACATAAGATTGGCTTAAAAACAATTATATATTACTATTAAAGAACTTATGTCGATTAGTATATATTATATCAGTATTCACCAAGACAGGATGCTAATAAAAATAGATATCTATTTTTCATGCAAATTAAAATCTGTACTTAATATGAGCAAATATCAAATCAGATCTATCTTATGGAATATTTGACTAAGGATACATTAGGCAAAAAATTTTCTGGACATTGTCTTGATATCACAATTCAAAATTATCCTGACATGTTCAAATTGAATTCATATCAGTTGACTTTGTCAGATTATCTGCTTAATGACCTTTTAAAAGATTACTTTCATGAAAGTGGCACAGATTTTCTCCAACTCACAATCAGTGAATAATGGAAAAGTAAATTCTGCAGAATGAATATGCATTTTCTGAACTATTTCCAAAAACTTTGAATGACCAATTCCTTGTACTATAACCAAAAATTCACATTTGATAGTGAGCTGCAAGCAGTTCAAACATTTTTGACAAGGCAATCTCTACAACCACCAGCTACTGGTTTAAAAACATTCAGCAAATGAGAATTCTTATAAAAAAGTGTGCTGAAAATCTAAGTGTCTGTCCATCTAAATTGCCCACTACTTTCTCTGTTGACTGATAACTGGTTTAAGAAATGGCTTTCTTCTGGATACTCTGCCACAATAATCCATATGATAAAGATAATCTGCCATGCTCAGCCTGATTTTAGATGTGCTATAGCACATTTGCTGCCTTGCAACAGATTTTTTCCAGTTCCCTTCTCATTGCACAAAAACACTTTTCTGATGGACCATATCAGCCTGAATTACATGTATTAGTTTCCTGTCCTTCATTAGGGAAGTGTGCAATCATGCAGGTCACAGTGAAAAGGGAATTTCCAAATTTCAATGTTAACAGACTGTCTCATTCCAACTTCAGAATTTTAACCATTCTGTTTCTGAAGTAAGAAGCATTAAGGGATTGTGTAATCATTTCTCTTAAATATTTTATAATAAAGTAAACCAATCACATATATTTATGCTGAATATTGAGATAGAAGAAAAGAGACAAGTTACAATTGCTTTAAAAAGAAACATGCAAACTAAATTATTTATCACTTGGACAAATGAAAACAAATGCTAAATATGAAGCTGTACTGCATTTAATAAAACCCAATTATAATTATTTATACAAAAAAAAATTCAAATAGATATTTGGATTTTATAAAAAAAAAAAAAAAAAAAAAAAAATAATTTAACATTTTGTTGAATTTTGCTTGCTTGCTTATTACTGGTGGATGCATAAAATTGTATTTTTTTTTAATGTTAGCTAATTTACAAGGTACAGAAATAACTTGGTAAAGAGATATTTCTCTATAAATGACCTGGTACTGAGAATACAGTGAACAAACAGAGTTCTATATAACAAATAACTAATGTCCAGTTGATTCTTCATTAGAATTCTCTTCAATATTATATGTATCAGTTTCTTTTCTTTAATTATTTAAAGAAATCAACTTTTGAAATATTCAGCTGGATATAAAGATCAACCAGCAATAATAGACATACAGAGAGCACCTTAACAAAACTGATAAAGAAAAACAGGTAACTGAGCCAGCAGCATTTCAAACTTCAGTTTCTAAGCACAAGATAAAGATAATTTACTGAGATCTTAAAACAAAAAAAAAACAACTGTCTGCAGGTTGATGTTCCTTTAATTAACAGAAAGGTTATTTATAAGTTTATAAACCTCATACCCACAGGGATATAGATATAGGTTAATGTATTAAAAATGTTTCAGCAAGAATTATTATGAACCTACCTGGAGTCTGGTTGATGAGTACACTTTGTTGTGCATATGGAGAGGCAGGGTTGACAATGATGCTTTGTGGTTGTGATGCCCCACTAAGCATGACTCCTGAAGGAGACATTGCTAAGGCCTGAGCAGGTGTGTACATCATTCCAGCACTTCCTGCTGCTGCTGCCGCTGCCCGCTCATATGGTTTGGACATGTACTGTTTTGACATATCATACCCTTTTGGCATCTCATAACCTTTAGACATTGTGAAATCTGATGTACTCAAGCTTGACAACAGGTGAACGTTTGGTTTTTGCTAGAAAAAACAAAAATAATTTTTTATTTACATACTATATTAATATAAAATTATATTCAAGATTGGTTGTAAAAACAGAAAAATACCAACTTTTACTACAATGAATGGTCATTCTCATAAATACATGTATTTTATAAATGTGCATATATGTAATGCAAGTACTGAACTAGAAATTAATGTTACTCTGATTAAGTTGTTTTACTGTATCAATTTCAGTTTAATAATAAAATGCAGCAATATTATCCCATTCACAAGACAGTTTTTCTATCATTTCTATTTTCAGGAATTAATACACGAACACACATACATGACTGTCAATTTTCAAGAGGAACTACAAAAGTGGGCTGATTATGATTACTATGAAGAGAATGTACATAAAATTCAACTTCCATTCACTCTGGTAAGCATGGGTACAGTTTATGCTATTTGAAAATTATTTCTTTAAACTCATTAAAGTAATGATCATTATAACTGATATTTCATGCAATAGTTATGCAATACTACTTGTCATGTTCAGTATGCAAGAAAGCTTTATTTCCTAATCAGTATATTGAATTATTTTGGGTGAGCAAGTGGTGTAATGGTTAGCAGCTCAATGAGAAAATCAAGACAAATATAATTTAAATTAATTTTAATTTAAAATATCAAACTGCTTTTTTGTTGCTATTTATTATCAATTTTGTTTGGTTGATTTCCCAATGGATGTTTGCCTCACTTACCCTACCAAATTTCTAATCCTTTTCTATGAGGATAAGATCCAAATCTGCAAAGTGCCTACTGGGGAAATGGTCAATAGCTAAATTCCAAAATAGACAAAGAAATACTACCATGAATATCAACCATATTTCCAATGACTTATTAAAATCGTTTAATAAAATTCTTTTCATAGTAAGCAAGTAATTAAATAATGTTAGAAGAGTTTCTGTTGTACAAATTAGTCACATTACTAACCAGTGACCAGTTTAATGTCAAATGTTGCTTCAAAAGCATAACTCTCATAAAGGAAGGAAGAAATGGCCAGAAAGGTAGAGGGGCATAGGGTTTTAGCTGTTTCACTTGAGGACAAATTCAGGCATGTTAATGAAAAAAAACAAGAATAGTTGTGGGAGTGATTATGATCGCAATCTATCCCACAGCTGCCCCATTTTCTCCATCCATCATGTCTAGAGATAGTAGTAGTAAGAGTAATATTGATTACTGTGGTAGTAGCAGGAGCACGGACAGTAAGAGATGGAGATGGGGGTACAGACGGCGACGGCGGTGGCTGCTGCTGCTACTAATGCTACTGCTGCATGTCGTCGTCACAGATTTCCTTTGTCATACAAAATTTATCTCTGAAGAAAAGATGATAATTAAAGGGCAAATAACACCAACAACTTAACCTGCTGTCATCACAGATGTTTTATGTCAACTAAGGTGTTATGAAGATGGGTCTATTATTATCTATACATACACTAGTGTGCACGCACACAATCTGGTGTGTATATTGTGTACTTAAATCGATCGTTGGCACAACGTACGTAAGCAGTAGGCTCGAATTATTTTATAATCAAAAAAGAAATGTAAATTCAAAACAATAGTTTCATACTCATGTTAAAATTATGATAATTTTAAAGTTAATTGCCGGTCGAAAACAATTATAAAATTAAAATAGAATTAAATTATAAATTGTTCTCCAAATATATGAACGGTCGTGTAAATAAAAAGAAGTCGTGAAACAAAAATGACTGCCATTAATGAGAAAAGGAATTGTTTGGATTCGTGAAATATGAGTTTTTATATTAACATCTCCGATAAGGGAAAAAAAATGTTATACAAGCAATTCATTTCCGTTTACGGCGAAAACAACCGATTTAATTCTCTTGCCAAGTGTTTTTCTTTATTTTAATTCAGGTTGCAGTTATGTTAAAAAGAGAAGAAAAGAAACCGCCTCCTCCTTTTTCTTTTTTTTTTTTTTTTGTTAGGATTAATTAAAATATCTGAATTAATCTTTACACTAAAAAAAAAAAAAAAATGTTGAAACTGCGTCTTGGAACTTTAAAATGAAACCAGAGTACAGTAGGCGCCATACTCGCATCCAACGATAAAAGACGTCAACTAAACCAAAAATAAACGGATCGAGATAATTATTTTTAGGAGTTTAAGAACTGAATTTTTCAATAATAATGCATGAAAATAATGCTAATTTTAAGTCGTAATTAATGTTTACATTGTATTTTTAAGATATTGCCCTTATTTAGTACATATTTTTTTCTTTTCTTCAAAATAATTTACGTCTTGAAACTTAAAAAAAGGGATAGTCATTAATGAAATATAATCATTTAGATGTCCAATGCCGATACGAGAACCAAACTAAAAATAATAAAATCGTTTCATACATAGTAGCATCCGAACTACTCTGATGTTTATTTTGTCTTATATATATTTTATTTTTGTGTATATTTTCCAATGCTCCGTGGTGATCCTCAGTTTTATCAGTAACTTGACATTTAATTAAAAACGGCAGTGAAAATTTTAGTATGCTCTTAGAAAAGCAAACTAGCAAAGTATGAGAAACTAATAAGAGAAATCAGGTGTTCAATCGAAGAATTAATAATACCTGTCTGTTGTTTAGGCTAGACATAATAAAAAAATACTTTATTTAGTTATACAGAATTAGTGGGAAACCAATCCAGCTGCTATAGTCATCTTGGCAAAAAGGAGTTCATCTTTGTGTATTTTAAAAACCAACCCCAATAAAAGAAATTTTTCAAAAAGAATCAAGTCCATCTATCTCCAAACAATGAGATGAAGACGAGCATTAATAAGCCAGAACAGTTGCCATTTTTGTTAACTTCCAAATTTTAATGCTTTTCTGACTAATTGTGACTTTTTCTCGATTTTTTTTTTAATAGAAAAGCAACTCTAAATTCCAGACTATATTTGAAGAATTACAAAGAAAAATATTTTGAAATGCTCTCGTTGTATAAATAGACTGGCCATTTTTTTTTTTTTTTAGATTCTCTTCTTTTTTTAATGCTCGCCACGTTAAACTACTTTACTTTTGTTTTTGCTGTTTATTACCGAAATAAAAACACGTTTCCACTTCTAAAATGGATGCAGTTTAAAAAATAAATAGATATTGGGACGAAATGCCTAGGTTTGAAGCCGAGCAAAGAAATCTTGATTACATTATGCAAAATATTTTGTGCCGATTTAATTTATTGTTGTTGTTACATTTTACACTCAGACTGGCTGGGTTCAGAGATCGGACTCATAATGGTGGTATTTTAAATAAATCTTTTTGAAAGATCAATTGCCTCAAAATTGTTTATCACAAATAATTGTTATTCTTTTTATAATCATCATCATAAAACAGTGCAATGTCACGTGTGAAAATCGTCATGAAGTAGTTTAGTTGGTTATTGTACAATAGCGGTTCCTTCTGGCTATTCCTTTTTACAATCAAGACAATAAAAGATTATGCACACTCCGTGACTTTTTTGATGAAAATCTTCTTCTGCAACATTATTTTTATCTCAGTTTATGGTTCCCCGAATGCTATGTAGACACTTACCGTAAAAGTAAGATAAGAAATCACTAAGAAAAGCCTGGTTTTTAAGGCAGACAGATATAAAACTCACCAAATGTCGTTGATTTCCTCCTTAATAATGTCAGTGACTCTTTACTTCGATCGCGGCGCCGCCTCTTTGCCTTTTATAAAGTTAACCTGCGCACGCCTACTACTAAGTTGATATTATTCCACGCACGATAAATAATCCCCTTTTCAAATTGAATCACTGAGATAAAATTGGCCGAAATTTTCTAATTTTAACTTTAAATGTTTCTCCATGTGAGATATTAATAAATTAAATTTTAAATGAAACAATATCGCCTAAAACTCTAAAATATTTTTCAAATCTTTCTTTTACCGTTGATTGTTGATTTTATTTTTCATTTCAATCAGTACCCAACTTTGTGTTCTTTTTATTGCTGAAAGTCTTAGAGATTTTTTTTCTCCAACTGTTAATTTATTTTTTATTTCGATGATAAATAAACTGACATAAGCTATAAACTAAGTTGACTATGCATCTGTGTTTATTTCTCGGGGACTTCCACTTAAATTTTCAAGCCTAATTTTCGTCTGTTCCGCGGAACAAGAAAAAGCAGACATTACACATGACTTAAATGTTCATTTTTCTCTATTAACTACACTTTTAAATTACAAATGCTTACTTGCAAAATCTAAAAATGTTTTTTATATTGCATCACTAGTAAGCGGCAGTAGTTAGTAAATAAAAAAAAATAATTTTTTAGTCTTTTTTTTGTCAAATAATGCGTGCGATCTCAAGCAGGAATGTGTCGTAGGATAAGAAAGAAAGAAAGCTTTTAAAAGGTTTCGCTTTGAATCCTTTAAGCCTGTTTGGGGTATTTTTTAATTTGTTTCCTCTAACTCACTTACACAATGTTACTTTTTTCAACTAGAACTATCATTGCTTGCTGGCTTTGACCCACATCGTCAATAATTATTTTAGCTAACTAGTTACATTCCAAACGATTTTTTCTAGTTTAAAGAAATACTCTGTGACATTCCAACTGCCTGCAGAAAAGACTTGAAAATAATAAACAAAAATGCATAATAAAGTTAAAGTACGATTCGCAATAAAATTGCACTTTTAGTATCTTTATTGGTACACGTGTAAGTAAGGTTTACTTTTTTCCTCGACCTTGTTAAATAAAAACTTAAGAAGCGTGCTTCACTTGTGAAATTATTTTTTTTTAAATTATTTAAATTTAACATTTTAAAAAATTTATTTTTGCCTTCTAATCTCTAGAATTTTGTAAACATCGCTTTTTAGTTTTTACCCTTTTTTGTATTTAAAAATAATGTAGTTTTTTGTTTGTTTTTTTTTTACATTTATGATTTTTTTGACGTTTGCATATTTTTGCCAATTTTTTAACAAAATATTTTCTATTATTTTTCATGCCTTTTGTTTTCATTACCGTGACAAAGATTTCAATTTTAAATTAATTTCCCAAATATTCGCCATATTGTAATTATATCTATTCACTTCCGAACTAGAAAAATTGACTGAAAAGTTTCATTTGAAAAATTGCTGCAGACCTGTTTCGATTCAGTTATTCTTGAACAGCGGTTTCTACATTCCGTACATTATTTATATAACCCTTAATCCGGAATAACAGTTCACAAATAAAGAACAATTCGTTACGACATTTTCGATACCACCATTTTTTTTTCCTATTGTAAACTGATTAAGTTTTAATATTTTTAACCTTCAAGGGCCACCTTTCAACATTTTATATATATCTTGTCTTGTTATAAAACGTTGCACTTTTTTTTTCTTGGTTTTTATTTGTATTTTAAGCCTTTTCACAAGAGAAAGATTAGAAATCGCAATC